TTGGTCTGAGATTTTGCTGTGCCTGTCAATGGTGAACATAGTTTTGGGGCTGCCTACTTGGACCCATGCACAGACTCATCCCCTGTGTGTGTGTGCCCGCACATGTGTGTTTTTAATTTCCCTCTGAACTCACAAGCCAGGTCGATTCTGTAGAGAGGTATGTTGTCCTTCAGGGTGAGAGTAACGAGAGGAATAAACAACCATTTCACTGGTGAAATGTTCGTTGTTGCACGGGCCAGAGCACATGCATTTCCTGGTTGGTTTTGTGTGGCGTTACCTAGGATGGCATCTGGGCCGAGTGATAGGATCTTAGAAACAATGTGGCCCAGGCTAGCGTCTCTCGTCTACAGTCCGGGGTGCTCTGGGCTGCTCCCCCACCTCTTCTCCTCATCGAAGCAGCACTAGGGGCCCCTCCACAGTGCACCCACACTCGGAGCCTCGCCTCCATCCTGGGACCCTCTCCAGAGACCCCAGTGCCTGGAATAGACCATGAGCAGAGGCTCTGAGCTTCCCCAGGTTCTCAGCAGGTAAATTGCAGTGCAAACCTGCATCCCATTAAAGGCGTCAGGCTTGTCACAATGCCCAGTTTCACCCAGATTCATGGAAAATAATTTTTAAGTTTATATTTAAAAACATAAAAACTTCCTCGTCAAAGCTCTGAAAATTCCCTGTAGGGTGTAAAGGAAGAAGGACTGACAGCGTCGCTGCCTGCAGACGGCCCCTGCTAGCTGCTGCAGGAAGGTCCGGTGCAGGCAGGGGATGCGGTGGGCTCCGGGGTCTCTCTGTTGGGCCTGGCCACTTGTCAGCCATCAACACTGGGTCCCTGCTGAAGGGGACACAGGGCAGTGGTTAGGAAGACAGAATGTGTTCCACTCATTTGCCTGTGGCTTTACTCACTTGGGTTTCTACAATTCTTTCTGTTACAATTTTTATAAAATCCAAATGATCACCTTGCCCTGGCCGGTTTGGTTCAGTGGATAGAGTGTCAGCCTGTGGACTAAGGGGTCCCGGGTTCGATTCCAATCAAGGGCATATACCTTGGTTGTGGGCACATCCCCATTAGGGAGTGTGCAAGAGGCAGCTGATCAATGTTTCTCTCACATTGATTTTTCTAACTCTCAACCCCTCTCCTTTCCTCTATGTAAAAAAATCAATGAAATGTATTTTAAAAAACTAAATGATCACCTCATCAGCTTGAATTTTGTACTGTATCAGCCTTTCTGAGCTGATCTTCAGTGAGTGGTCAGGCTCTATGTCGTGTTTCTCGGGAGTAATCGAGATCATTAGGACAGTGAACCAGTGCTGATGGAGAAGGGGATTGCTTGGCTTTTGGAAGTTTTCAGTTTGTGGATTTTTAAGTATAAACCTCTGTATATACCAACCTATACTAGCATCAGAGGGTACCCCAGTATGATCAAGTGTGTGCCAGAGCCGCAGGGCGGGTGGCACGTGGGAAGGGTGCTGAGGGGAAGTGGGAGCTTTCTCATGTCTGAGCTGTGTGCCCGAGGCTGCTGGTCGAATCTCTCATCTGTGAAATCACAGTTTGTTCATGTAATCTCAGAAGCCCCTGTCCTCTTTTAAAACATGGAGAAGATCGTACTGGGGCTAAGTGAAGAGAAACCCGTATCAATGTGTTAACATTGAAAAAAATGAATGTCGAGTGCAAGTGAAGGGTGAAATGCTTTAATGTGCCTACAGGCTCCCGCTTATGCCCATCGGGCTGGATGTGTTCTGTGTTCCAGAGGAGGAAATGTGTCCTGAGGCAGGGACGGGGAGGCCGGAGCGGACAGAAAGGCTGCCAGGGCCCAGCCAGGGCCTGGATCCTCTGCTCAGAATCAGGAACTGGACCAAGGTCCATTCCCAGGACCAAATGAGGTCACCCCATTCTAGCATAGTCACTGTCCTCTCCCTCTCTCCCTCCACCCTCCTCCTCAGCCCTGGCGCCATCCTTCTGGAATAGGTTCATTTATTATGGCTGTGTAGGTGTCAAATACTTATAACGGGAAAGTTGCTGTCCCCACAGCAGGCTAAGTTAGAGAGAAATTGCCCAGCGCAGGGCAGGAGAGTGGCCGGGAGGTAAGTGTGGGAGACTTCACACCAGAGGCCTCCGTGCGGTGATGGAAGTGGCCGGGAAGCGACACCGAGTTTGGGATTTGGGCCACATGGGTAGTGTTGCTTTGTGCCCAGAGAGCCCCACGAGAGCTTTGCCAAGATGACAGAGCTACCGTACGTGATTGCCTGGCACTGAGGACCCATCTGGGGTAACCGCTATGAGGTGACCCACTCCAGCCCTGAGATGTAGGTTCCCTTCATTTTGCAGACGGGATCGTGGAGCCTGGGGTCACAACTCAGGTCACAAACATGAAGTTAAGGTTAGATCTGGCCGACCCAAGAGCCTCTCCATGAAGGATGGAGGCAGCCTGGGGAGCAGGAGGACTTCTCTCCAGAGAAGCCCTGGAGCTGGGTAATGTCTCTTTACTGCTGCGGGAGGAGCTTGGCCTTATTTCTCCTCTCTCCCCCGCTTAGTCAAGAGAGCAACTAGTGCCTTTCAGCCACTCCTAGCTGGCACCCAGCCAGAAATGCAAAAGCGCGCCCCTTCCCCAACAGGTAGGAAGCGCTGTCATCTGCTTCAGTCGTATTGTTTGACAATGAAGCTTTAGAAATGAAAGGCAGCAACTGTATTGCTCGCATCTTGGGACATGGCCCCAGAGAATAACAAGCCACCAGACTCAGCCTGTCCAGGAGACGTTTGCTCTTCTTGAAATAATAACTAAAGCTATGATATGCGTAGTACTAGAACCTTGAAGTAGTCTATGGTGAGAGACGGAAGTGAGCCTGAGCGTGTGGAGTTGGCACGACCAGGACACTAACGCTGGGAGTCAGGACCCAACTGGGCCCGAGGACCCTACAGGCCCCACTGTGAGGTGGAGTGCTCCCACCTTCTGGCCTCAGGCCTCCAGGAAGAGCTGCCGCAGAGATGGTTCAAGGTCTTGTTTATAAGGAGCGCCCTCTGTGATGCTCTTTGTCTTGTTCTTGAAAAGAAGGCTTGTGGCCCCATGGGAAGAACCCATAACAATGAACTTGGTTGAATTTTATGAATTTTTAGTCTCTCACGGTAGCCAAGGCATGGAGCAGTTATGGGACAAATTGTAGGAGCATCTCAGATTCTCTCTCCCTCTCTCCCTCTCTCTCTGGAACTTCCTGTTAAAGGTTTTTTTCATGATTGGATTGTTGGTGGGGTTTTTTTTTTGTTTGTTTGTTTGTTTTGTTTTCTGTTTTGGTTTGGTTTGTCTTTAATTTTGCATGGGGTTGTGAGAATTTGAATCAAAGTTTGTATTATAGTTGCTTTCTTTCGACTTAACTAAGAAAGAAAAAGGTTACATATTCCACGAGAATACCGGCGGTGTGCTGTGGGTCTGGAATTCTGCTCACGTTGCCTTTCCTTTGAAACCTTTGCCTATGTGTTGCTGGATGTGGCTCTCGGGACTCCCGCCCAACAGGCTCCGTTTCCTGGGTGCTCACAAGAGGAGCGGGATCTTCTTTGTTGCCCTCAGAGCAGATGTTTCTCAGACGTCTGGGCCCTTTGAGTCAGGTCCCTCCCCTTCACCCATCCTTGTCATTCATACCATGTCTGTTGCCCGAGCAGGGTCAGCAGCTGCATAGCTATGCAGACAGAGACACTGACCCAACCTTCACTCTCCGCCCCCTGGGCTGCCCATAGAACCTCCACCACGTGCTCAGGCACCCCTCCTGATCCCCTTAGCCCCCCAGTTTTTGTGGAGGAAACCGAGGCATCCTTGCTAAGAGGATGCCTCGGTTTCCTATGGGCAGAGGCCACGGAGGGAAGACTTTCCTGTTGACCCATCAGGTTGATAAAGACAGTTGCTCCAGTTCAAAATGATGCATCAGGGGAAAGCAGTGCATGTGTTTGGGTGATCCTCCCATGTTCAGTCTCCATGACCTCTCCTGACCCCAGAACAGAGTTAGTCATTCCTAACGACACGTTTCAGATTCCTTGTCCAGCCCCCTGAGCGGGGGGCGGAGGGGTGTGTGTGTCTATATTTCTGTATTTCACAGTTAACTGAATCCATTGGGCTTGCGTCTCCCACTGACCCTCCAGGGCAGCGCAGTGCTGTGCCCTCTGGGTGCCCGCACCCCCTTCCCCACCGGGTCTCCAGCACATGCTCATGTTTATGGGGCTGAACCAAGTGGATGCAAACAAACAGCCACGTGCCAGATGGTGGCTCCAGTGGGTCCCTGGGCCCCCCAACACCAGTGGGTGCATTTCCACATTTCCTCCGCTCTGCTCAGGACCCTGATGTGGCGGCATGAAACAAGCCCAGGGACACTGGCGGCTCTGGGACCACAGTCAGCTCTGCCCTGGTCACGGGGTGGAAGGAGACCTCCCTGATGCTCTCGTCCCGCTTTGGTGGTGAGGCCTCTACACATTGGCTCACAAGCTCGGCACATCTTAGGTATCAGAGAAGGTCACTAACACTGAGTAGGGTTTCCAACTTCTCAAAAGACGTTGTGCCTGGTACCTCATGTACTCCTCCCCCCACAGCTCCTCCTCTCCGATATATTTAAAATAAGAATGTATTCCTGAAGTATTGGTGTATTCACAGGTTTTCTAGAGTCCACCTGCCGGGCCAGGCAAGGAGTCCTGAGATGTCTTGGTGGCCTCAGTGCAAACCTGGAAACCAGGAAGAATAAGCTGGTACCGAGCACAGGGCAGGGTCCTGTTCGGTCCATAGGCTGCTTTTCCCTGGAAACATCTGGATGGACAGAATTTCTTCCCGAGGGGGCCGTGGGCTTGCTGGGCAGGATACGGCAGCTGAGGCTCCCCTGCTTGGAGGTGCTGGCTTCTCAGCACTCATGCTGGCCCATTGCCCTCCTCCGAGGTCCCCAGAGGGCCTGCTGCTGGCGGGTCGCACACCGGCCCCTCCGGGGCGTGCAGCGCCTCCAGTGCGCCCTCTGAAGCGTTTTCTTCCCCCCCACAGCCAGCATGCCCACCAGCGAGACGGAATCTGTGAACACAGAGAACGTAAGTGGCGAAGGCGAGAACCTCGGCTGCTGGGGAACTCTCTGGTGAGTGTGGAGGCAGCTTACCCTCTTGGCTTCCGCCATCATCGTCTCAGGGAAGCAAATAAGAGGAAGACACCCCAGATTTCCGTGAAGCCTGGGGGCCATAGTCTGAGGGGCAGGAGGGGCGGGTGGGCCCTTCGGTCATCCTCCTTCCCTGGGCCCCTCCCTGCCTCCTCCCGCAGAGCAGCGCAGGGGGTGCCAGGTAACGGCTGTTCCCTGTGTCCGCTAGGTGCTGGTGGAAAAGAAGCAGCGCGGCCCAGGCTGGGCCCTCTGGGTGCCGGCGGTGGGGGTAAAGCCCGATTCTCCTCCGGGGCTGGTGCTGGCATCAGTGCTTGGAGAAGAGCTTGTATGGCAGAGTGGCTGATGGGAATATTTAAGTTTTCTTCGCTCCTGGGTTCTCCCAACCTTACGCACAGCAGCTGGATGGCGAGACCCTGCTCTATGCTTATAGCCCTTTTTTTTGGGAGCCCTGCACCATCTCCTCCTACCAGTGGAGGGCGCCATCCCATTAATGCCCATTGGCTTTTTACTAGAGGATTTTAACTGCAAGGCGGCGGGGGGTGGCCGCAATAGCAGGGTGAATGTGCAGAGTGCAGCCTGCCTTTTTTTGGGGGTGGGGGGGGGGAGACCCATGCAGCTTCCTTTTGTTTGCTTCCATCTGGTATTTTTTTTTTTTTTTATCTTATCTCTGCAATGTGCAGGTGTTGTTTTTAAGAGAATCTGATCTCTTGGGCAGGGCTGCATGAAAAGTGATGTGTTATGGGCAGGATACTCAATAATTTACAAAGTGAATTTGCCTCCTTGCTCTGCCCTCCCTACCACATTGGAAATTAGACGGGAAATGGGTTTGTCCTTCCCACTTGACAGATGAGAACACGGAGGCTCAAAAATGTGTGCCACTTGCCCAGACTCACACAGTTAGTGGATACCAGGACTCCCAGTCCAGTGCTCCATTTGCTAGAGCAGCAGCACATGCTGCTCTTGAGATGAGTGCTTGAGTTCCTCCGGACTTCAGTGTGGGGAACTCAGGTCGGAGAGAGAAGGACCCCTAGAGTCACTGCCTGTGCCATGACTGCTCAGGGCATCTGGCTAAGAGTCTTCTCTTGCCAGGGCTTGGCAGGTGCTCAGCCTGGCATGCCTGGACCTGCAGCACTTCGCTACTGCTCCGCAAATGCCCAGGCAGCCCGCTGCGGGAGCCGGGGTGCTGAGCCAGGGTGCTGTGCATGGCTCTTCCAATAGCTCAGCTGACGTGGTGGGGGGAGCATATGCTTAAGCCTTCCTGACAGGAATGATGTTCTTTTTGTCTTTCTTTCAGTCAAGCCATCTCAAAATCCAAGCTCAGGTCAGTATCTTCTTTCTGTTTTTTCTTAAGCATGTGTGTTGGTTGTTCCCTTTAACTTCTGAATTTTGCATGGAGTTGCTTTAGACTTGCATTTTCTCTTTGGGCTGCAATATTCATATCGAGGATCAATCTGCCCAGTAAACATTAAGTACCCGTCTTGGAGATCAGTGTAGTAACCATAGTAGGTGCTGAAGATGTTGCCCCAACACAAACAAACAAGATGCAATATTTCTTGCCACAAATCAACCCTTCATACCCCCCGCCCCCAGTGTCATTTTTTCCAAGAGAAATACTTGTCACTTTTCTGCTTAAAAGTTTTTCAATCTTGACCGTTTTTCTCAGTGGTTAAGGCATCAGTCCACGAACTGAAGGGTCGTGGGTTTGATCCCGGTTAGAGGCATGTACCTTGGTTGCAGGCTCAATCCCCAGCCCCTGTCACAGCATGTGCGGGAAGCAACCGGTTAGCGTGTCTCTCCCACATTAATTGATGCTTCTCTTTGTGTGTGTCTCTACCCCTCTTTTTACTTTCTCTAAAAATCGTTGGAGAAAATATCCTTGGGTGAGAATTAACTCCCACCCCCTAAAAAAGTTTTTCATGGAAGGAGGTTCAGAAGGTTTTCTGAGGGGTTAGTCATGTTCTGTTTTTTGGGCTATGACATGCTCAGTTGGCAAAAACTCATTGAAGTGTACACCTATGATTTGTGTAGTCTTCCATATAAATGTTCTTTTTTAATTTAAAACATTTTACCACTATATATAAAAATTAACCACTATCTATAAAATTTATCACTATATATATAAAAGTTTACCACTATATATAAAAATTAATGAACATAAAACTAAATGTAAAACCTAAAACTGCAAGCATTCTAGAAGAAAACATAGAAAAATCTTTGTGACCCTGGGTTAGGCAAATATTTTCTTGGACACAATACCCAAAGCACTGGCCATAACAGGAAAAAAAAATGGTAAATTCAAAATTAAAACTCCTGTTCTTCAATAGAAAATAAAAAGATAAGCTCTAGACTGGAGGAAAAAATATTTGAAAAACTATTTGATAAAAGGCTAATGCTCAATTTATATAAAGAATAATATATAAAGAATAGTGTCAATAATAAGGAAGCAACTCAATTGAAAAATGGTCAATAGATTTTAAGAGGCATGTCACCAAAGAAGAGAGATGGATAGCAAGTAAGCACATGAAAAGACCATTGGTCATTAGGAAAAAGTAAACTAAAATCACAATGAGACATAACTATATATCTATTACAAATATGACAATATAAAGGTCTGACAAGGAGGCAATCAATGAGAATTCACAGATATTTTTTAAAACAAGTTGGTAGTTTCATATAAAGTTAAACACATATTTACCTATGATCCAGTAATCCCACTTTAAAGATATTTATATAAGAGTAGTGAAACTATATGTCTGCATAAAACTTTTTATGTGTTTATGGCAGTGTTATTAATAATTGCCAAAAACTCAAATGTTCATCAAATGCTGACTGACTGGGTAGACAAATTATAGTTCATCCATATAATGGGAAAATGCTTAGCAATAAGTGAAAAAAACCTGGTAGAAACAACAGAAATTAATCTGCAAAGTATTTTTTAAATATATTTTTATTGATTTCAGAGGAGAAGGGAGAGGGAGAGATAGAAAAATCAGTGATGAGAGAGAATCATTGATCGGCTGTCTCCTGCATGACCCCCACTGGGATCAAGCATGCAACCTTGGCATGTGCCCTTGACCAGAATCAAATCTGGGATCCTTCAGTCCATAGACTGACCCTCTATCCTCTGAGCCAAACTGGTCAGGCCTGAAGAGTATTTTTGCCAACTGAAAGAAACCAGTCCCTAAAAAGCTATATGCAGGGTGTGGTAAAAATAGGTTTACAGTTGTTTGTATGGAAAATAATACAACCTATATAGTATGTAAAAGGCTAAGCGACAGTCCGACTGTCCAAACGGTAGCTATGACATGCAGTGAGCATCGGGGCAAATGCTCAATGAAAGCTGCGGTGACTTGGCAGTGATGGTTCTTGGATGATGCACCCCAGAACCAGAGAGGAGTAAGCACAATTCTAGGGTGCATCACCTCAGAACCACCATTCTCTCACAATCCGGGACCTCTGGGGGGGATGTCAGAAAGCCAGTTTTGGCCCGATCCTTGCAGGCCAGGCCGAGGGACCCCACCTGCTGGAGGGACCCTGCTCACTCCGCAGACACCCTTTGAACCTGGTGCTGCCCTAGGTGCAGTCAGCTGGGGAGGGACCACGGGAAGTTGGCTCCAGGTTGTGTCCGGCCCATTTCACCCAGTCCCGCCCCACGGGCCATCTTCTCATTGCCTTTCAACGTGCACGAATTTGTGCACCAGGGCACAAGTAATAATAAATAATACAAGAAGAAACTGGGTTTTGAGTACTCACAATTATAAACCTACTTTTGCTCCTCCCTGTATTGCATACTTCTATTTATAGGACATGCTAGATAAAGCAAAACAATAAGAATAAAAAACAGCTCAGTAGTTGTCAGGGGCTGTGGTAAGGAGAGGGAATTGACCCCAAGGGCCATGAAGGAACTCAGAGTGATGGAAACAGTCTATGTCTAAATTGCGGTGGTGGTCACAAACAGTATACCTACAAAGAGTAAATTTTATAACCTAAATTATGTCTCAATAAACGGCTTTAAAAATAATATTAAAAGCCTTCCCATTGCTCCCTGTTGCCAGAGGGCAGGCAAATTGCTTCATGATTTGGCCCGTGGCTCAGCATCTGACCTAATCTTTTGATCCTTCTTGCTCCCCACTGCTCTCAGTTGTTAAACACACCACACACACTGCTGCTTCTTACCTGAGTCCCTTTGGTCCTGCAGTTTCCTCTGAGTGGAGTGCCCTTCCCTCTGCCCCCTGGTATGCTCCTACTCGGCCGTGGAGAGGAGAATCTGTTCTTCAGTGAAGACTGTCCTGAGTCTTAATTTTCAGCCCTGGCCTGTTGCTCAGCGGGTAGAGCGTAGGGCCACAGACAGAAGGGTCTCGGTTTTGATTCCCAGACTTGGTTGGGCACCTGCAAGAGATAGCCAATCTCTTTCTCTCTCTTCTTCCCTCCCTCCCTCTTTCCCTCCCTCCCTCCTTTTCTCCCTTCCTCCCTCCCCCCGCTTCCTCCCTCACTTCCACTCTCTGTAAAAGTCAGTAGAAAAAACATCTTGGAATACAATTTTTTAAAAAAAAGACCATTTGTAGCTCCCTTCTCTTTGCTCCTGTACCCAGTACCTGGGAATAGCTCTTGATGTGGATTTATAGTCTGTAACTCTGCGTACAAAGACAGGAGCTGTGTCTTCCTCATCTCCATCTGCCCAGTGCCTGGCCCAGAGCCTGGGCACTCAGCACCCAGTGAGGAGCAAGACAGGAAGTGCTGCAGGGTTTCGGGAGGTGACAATCACGTTCCTGGATTTGGGAGACACCGATGGCCTGTCCCTACAACACAGACCCACTGCGGCCACCGAGGCTGGGTCCTTTCAGACTAGTGCACACCTTGTTTGTGTGGCCTGAATTGCCTGCCAACAAGCATCTCGCCCCAGGGACAGTCCTTAGTGTCTGTCCCCTGCAGAATTTCTCTTAGTTGGTCCTCGTGTTTCTAGCTGCTCTTGCCATCAGAAACCACACAGCAAGAGCAATAACAAAATGCGCCTTGTTTGTTCCAAGTCTTGCTGAAGCGTTAGCACAGCTCTCTCTCTCTCTCTCTGCCTGGCCCCCGGGGCGTCAGTGTTTTTCGCAGAGCACAGCTGAGTCAGCCGCCTGCAGCCCGGACACAGCCCGGAGAGCCCTCTGACTCAGCCCCCTGGGCACCGCCCACTTCACCACGCCATCCTGAGGCAGGGAGTGTTTTCCGTGGGGAGACAGCGTAACGGAGAAAATTCCTCCCCTGATTACAGACCAGGACTGAAAGTCAGTAAAGGACATGCTACTTGTCTGTTGGGCTCGGCTCATTCTATTTGTACGAAAACATGATTCAATATTGGCTCTTCTCCGGAAGGTGTATTTTGAGCATCACTTGTTAGAAAGGGCACCTGATGACTCAGTCTGAAGATTCATGTGCTCCTCAGCGTTGACGGCCCCGCCAGGCCCCAGAGAAACCTCCCAGGGTTAAGAAAGGATGGAAAGTTTCTCTAAAAGGAAAGCTGTGGTTTTGGGGCACTTCGTTGCCTGATCCATTTTGTATGATGATGGAGATGCTGCAAGAGATGTAATGATAAGCTAAATGGCTCTCTGCACCGACAGACCCCTCGCCATATGGTGGGGATGTGCACTGCATGTGTGTGCGAACTCCCTTTTGCATAATCTATGAATATCTAGATTTCCTGACTAGCTTGAGGACTGTGCAGGGCGGCTTGTGGAGTTCTGTAAAGCCATAGGAAGGAAACGGATAGCATGATCAACTCAAGATACAATATTTTTAAGAAGTTGTATCTGCAGATCAACATAATTTGTATTGTGAGGTCTGTTCCTTTCTACGGCATTTGTTCCGTCTTTCCTTCCTGCACCCCCACCCCAATCTGGACCCCCAGGGTGGGAGACGGACGCTTCCCCAGGGATGCTGATTGGACACGCAGGTGCCAGCTCTGTCGGCCGGGGAGTAACGCCTGCTTCTCTTGCAGCCGCCGCTGGCGTCGCTGGAACCGGTTCAGTCGCCGAAGATGTAGGGCCGCCGTGAAGTCTGTCACGTTTTACTGGCTGGTTATTCTCCTGGTGTTTCTCAACACCCTAACCATTTCCTCCGAGCACTACAACCAGCCTGACTGGCTGACGCAGGTCCAAGGTACACGCAGGCGCTCTTCTCTCTTTGTTCTGAGCGAGGGAGTCCCGTGGCTGCACGTTAGCCCTGCCTGCTCTGTGTGTGACAGGTGTGGGAGCATTTCCATGCGCCCTAATGGGAAGAAGGCAGAACCATCCAAACTGAGGGTGCACCTGGCATGGAGGTGCAGGTGATGAGCGCCAGGCATGTCATCGTCTTCACTCTGTTACAACCTCTGATGGAGGAATCCGCCAGTGGGGGAGCGAGTCCCTCCCTCCCCGCCACGCCCCTGCCTCCACCACCCCCACCCCCACCCTCACTAAAGGGAAGCTGTATTTTCCCTTCTGGTATTCTGGGCAAGTGGTGGTGATCCCCTGCCCCAAACGGCCCAGCCATGTGATGTGGGAGGTCGTCCCCAGAGACGGTCCATTCTGAGAGTGGCAGTTTTGAGCCATTGAGAAGGCCTGTCTTACATCAAGTTAAATCTGTTTCCATCCAACTCTCCAGCCTGCAGGGAGAGAGGTATTTTCTGCTGTTAGACATGACCTTGATAAGCAACTGCTGCTTCTGTCATGGGGCTGTAAGCAAGACCAAGAGCTTTAGTGATCAATAGGAGCAGGGGATACAATATGCCGGACTGAAGGGAGAATCATGGGCTCCGAGGGCCGGGAAGCATCAGAGGCTGCACGGAGAGCTGCCCCTGCCCATTGCACAGTCCGTGAGACTGAGGCCCTGAGACCAAGGACCCAATCCGGAGTCTCACGTCTGGGTAGTGGCGGCAGCAGGATTAGAACTTGGCAGACACGCAGACCGTCATGTTAGTGCCATGTCTCTGCGGTGGAGGCAGTAGTAGGGATGGAGGCAGTAACAGCAGGGACCTGGCTTGGGGGGTAAGGGTGGGCAGAGGAGTCGGAGGCACCCCACAACAAGATCCCCAGGACCCCCGCGCCTCTTTCTTCCCAGATATCGCCAACAAGGTCCTCCTGGCGCTGTTCACCTGCGAGATGCTGGTGAAGATGTACAGCCTGGGCCTCCAGGCGTACTTCGTCTCCCTCTTCAACCGCTTTGATTGCTTCGTGGTGTGCGGGGGCATCACGGAGACCATCCTGGTGGAGCTGGAGATCATGTCCCCCCTGGGCATCTCTGTGTTCCGCTGTGTGCGCCTCCTACGGATTTTCAAAGTGACCAGGTGAGGGTGGCGGCATCCCCCCGTGGGTGTCCCCGCATGCCAGGGGGCACTGGGCCGCGTCCCGGCCGGTGATGTCCTGCCCTGCGTGCCAGGCTCACGCCCTCACCTTGGCTTGCAGGCACTGGACGTCCCTGAGCAACCTGGTGGCGTCTTTGCTAAACTCCATGAAGTCCATCGCCTCGCTGCTGCTCCTGCTCTTCCTCTTCATCATCATCTTCTCGTTGCTCGGGATGCAGCTGTTTGGAGGCAAGTTCAATTTTGACGAGTCTCAAACCAAGAGGAGCACCTTCGACAACTTCCCTCAGGCGCTTCTTACGGTGTTCCAGGTGAGGCCCCCTCCCTGCCCCCCCTGCCACCCCTCCCTGTGAGGCCTGTTATGAGGTGCCTCCCTTCTGTGGTCTCAGGAAGATAGAACGGTTCTGCTTTCATTAGCAGCCTCCACCCCAGTGATGGATGCTCCGATACATTTTGTTCCACTTAAGCAATCTCTAGTGCATCTCGATCCTGCTCTCTGTGGGATGTGATTTAATGTTGTTGTTGTTTTTTTTTTGCAAGACCACAAGCCCTGGGGTGTCTGTGAGATCGGCTCTTTTCTGGTTCCGGGTTAATTTTTGATGAAGGGCAAGTTTTGTAATTCTGGCTATAACAGATTTATGCAAAGAAGTGACTTCCAAAGCCCCAGTGTTGTGGCGCCGTCAGAGGAATCAGGGAGATGGAAGAGTTGTGGCAGCCTCCTGCCCCTTTTCTGTCTTCCCTCGTGTGATGTAATGAGGACACATGGCCTCGGAGGGGGTCTGTGTGGTTGGGGGCCCCTGCAAGCAACCAGGCTGAGGAGCAGGGGACAGTGTGAGGCCGCCGCAGCCTCGCCAGCCCTCCTGGCTCGAAGCCGAGTTGCTCTAAACCCCTCTTCATCTTCCTGTGCTGTGAGCGGAAGCCGCTCCTGGGACAGAGCCTGACCAGCAAATGGAACAACCCATCTGCCCTCGTGGCCTTTCACACACCTGTCTGGGCGCTCTGGGTCGGGCTGGAGAGGCCATAGGGCCAGCAAGGAGGGGCAGCTCTCCCAGCACTCAGCTCGGTGACCCTGGAAAGTCACTGTCCTTTTCAGAGAGAGAGAGAAAGAGAGAGAGAGGAGAAGAGGGAATGATCTCTAAGATTCTTTCCCACTTGGCCATTGGAAGTGAATGGGATTTCTGTCAGTACTACAGGCTGTGACAGAATGATACTTAATTTTTGAAAATATTTTGAATTATACTTAATTTGGGGCCACTGATGAGTCAATGGTTTTCCTGATTTCTTTCAGAGAAACTTGTGTGGTGGTTGTTTTGTAATACTTGCATACACCACAAAATTCTAACATTGCAAAAGGATATAAAGGAACAATCAAGACCCCTCCCTCCCATCCACCCACCACGCCCCCTTCTGGGAGACAACCACTGTTACGTAGTTTCTTGTGTATTCTCTGAGATCTGCTTGCTCAGATGTAAGGCAGTTAGCCTGCCCACCTGACTCCAGGTGAATTCACACAGATGGTAGCTCATTCTGCACCGTTTTCCATCTGCTTTTTATCACTTAAAGTGTCCTTAAGAACCTCCCTGATTGGCCCACAAAAGGTTGCCACCTCCTTTTCCTGCTGGGTAAATTCTGGGGTATGGTTGTTCCATAATTCATGGAGCAGTCTCCTGCTGGAGACTATGTTGTCTCCAGTCTTGGCTCAGTGGGTGACCTTGAACATATGCCCTGAGGCACATGTGTACAAGCAGATCTGTAGGATACCCAGAGTCTGTTGGTTTCGAGGGTATGTGTGCATTTTCAGCTTGGATGCTCTTGCTCAAGTATTCTTTAGGGTGTGCTCATCCACCCTCCAGGGATGGGGTGTGGAACTGCCCCTGATGGGTGAAAACGCTATTATCAGGAGTGAACTTGAATATCTTTTCATGTGACTAGGGCTCACTTATCATTCCTTTCTGTGAATTGCTTTATCAAATCCCATTTGCCCATTTTCCTGTTTGGTCGTGACTATGACGGTTTTAATTTTTAAAGTATCTGGTCCAGATAGGATCTCTCTCTCCCTCTCTCAATCTCTCTCTCTCTCTCTCTCTCTCTCTCTCTCTCTCTCTCTCTCTCTCTCTCTCTCTCTCCTTGCTGTCTCTTTTTGGAAGTTAGTGCATTTTTCTTTTTGGAAGTTAGTGCATTTTTATATTGCTATAACTGTTCATCTGGTTCTGTTTCATGATGGATTGAATGATCAAGTGTCATCAGTAGAGAAGATTATATTTGAAACTTAGGTAGTAGTGTGTAAATTTACATAAGATACTTAGAGATTTCCCTGCTTATAAAAATTCATAGCTATAGTCTTCCATTTCCACACTTGGTTAGCGATGTGGAATATAGGCAGCAGTTACAAAGGATGAAATGAGCCCTGGCTGGTGGCTCAGTTGATTGGAGCACCATCCCGTGCACCAGAAAGGTTTCGGGTTTGATTCCTGCTCAGGGCAAATACTTAGGTTTGTGGGTTCAGTCCCCAGTTGGGGCATGTATGGGAGGCAACCAATCAATGTTTCTCTCTCACATCAGTATTTCTTTCTCTCTTCCCATTCCTCTCTCTCTAACATCAATGAAAACATATCCTTGGGTGAGGATTTTTTAAAAAAAAATTAAAGAATGAAATGAAGGTATTAATACAAAGTGTCTCTAGAGTATACTGTTGCGGGTCAAGGGAAGGGATGAGGCAAATCACAGAAAGTTCATATTGTATATGATACCCTTTATGTTTAAGAAATCAGAAAAGACCCCAACTGCCCATTTCTTCCGAGTGTACATATGAGTTTAAATCCACAAGTAAAAGCTCGGGAGAGAGACACCCAATAGCATGCTCTCTGGGCTGGGGTACATAAGTCTTATACGTCATGTTATTTTCACTAGAACGATGAACGTATCTACGGGTGTAATTAAAAACATGTTCTGTAAACTCTGTGGAATAGCAGGTGGATTTGTTCAGGGAAGACCGGACTGTGAAAGGCAGTGTAAACCAGACCGAGGTAGCCGCCACGGAGCTCCAGAGACACCTGGGAATTGTGGGTTCACTGGTTGATCCAAGTATTGGCTTCTTAGATTCTGACAGGTGAAGACTGGAATGCTGTGATGTACGACGGCATCATGGCGTACGGGGGCCCGTCCTCTTCGGGGATGATCGTCTGCATCTACTTCATCATCCTCTTCATCTGTGGGAACTGTATCCTTGAGCTGACCAGGGTGTTGGGATTGCCCCCTCTTATTGGGTGTCTCCCTCTGATGCTCCCCATGGTGGCGTGGTGGCCTCTGTGATGGGGAGGTGAATGCTCTTCCCCTGTTCTGTCTGCTCTTCCTCACCGTCGCTGGGTCAGCAGAGGATGGGAGGATCCCAGTAAGGGCTTGGAGGATGAGAGCAGGCTCTGGGAAAGGAGCCCCAGACAGTGCCTGGGCTGCAGCAGCGGTCGCCCCTCTAGGTGGCACATTCCTGTGCAGGTCCCATGGGGCAGCGCAGGGCAAAGCCATGTGGCACGGAGAGACTGGGCACGGTTATGTCTTCTGAAGACCCCTCATAACTGATGGGTACCCACCTTCCGTGGCTGAGCTAAGCTCCCCTGAACCTGACTTCACTTCGCTGACCTGTACATCTTTGAAAGTCAAATATCCATTGGCTTGTTGCTGTATCATGCTGTGTGACTTCTTCAACTTGCTTTTTCTTTCTCCCTGCCACGAGGTACTTACTCTCTAGCCCCAGGCTTCTGGAAACTTGGGTCTCTCTTTATTTACCTCGATTGGAACCTTCACGACCCCATCACCTTTGCTTGTGTCTGCTTTATCTCTCTGTCCTCTCTGCCTCGCACAAGACTTGGCTTGCAGAGCCCCTCAATAAAGGCTGGGTGGAAGAGCTGTTGTGCAAACATATGAATGCCACCTCAGGCTCCAGAGGCTGTGTGTAAAAAATAGCCTAGCATCTCAAAGACGGTTTGAAGTCTTAATATAATTCACTCAAGTTCCTGCCCCCTTGAATAACTCCACTTGATTAGTCGAGTACGAAATCCCCTGGAAGCTGTCTCATCATCGGTCCCTGTTAGGTTATGTTTGCACGTTCGGCGCCCACCTGAGACCTCAGCCTGCACAGGGCACATGAGCAGTGTGTGCTGCTCCCGACTCAGGTCCCGGCTCCCGCCTGCAGAGGGTCCTGTCTGTGCTCAGCCGGAGACGCTGAGTCAGGGAAGGGAGCCGCCTTCACTTCCTGCCCTCTCATCTCCTGCTTCTCAAAAACATGCTTACCTGCTAGCAAATAAGAAACAGGCATCTTCTGATTTGGAAGCCTTGTTCTGAATTTTTTAAAATCGTTTATGGAAACCACCTATACGATATAGTAAAAGCCAAAAACCCTTTAACTTGTTCAAATATCTAACTTTTTACTATTATTAATAATAAAATAAAATTCAACCACAGTAGTCAAAGATTTAGCCATTGTGGGCCTATTCAAAAGAAGAGTCCAGCACATCCGGCAGGGAATCAGGTGTGTGGTGGTCAGTGAATGTGCAGGGAATGAATGAATGAGATGTCTGCACACTCTGGAGGCCATTTCCAATGAGAAAGGCTCAGACTGCCTTGTGCAATGGGATCCTCATTTGCATAATGTGTTGTCTTAAAAGAGATCTATTTTGGAAAACATGCCCAAAATGTGTATGCGTTACGGGTGGTGTATTCTAAATGAAACAAAACAAATGCAGAAAGCAAAATTGCAAAATGAAAAAGATTCTCTATGTTTTTATGCTATAGATTGTTTCATGCAATGTGTCTCATAGCTGTAGATACCTAGATGTGTAGAGGCACACAGGTGCACATGCTAGCACACGCATGCACACGCAGGAAAGGCAATGTTGACGTTTGTAGATTTTCACGCCGTTTAGTGAATCTTAATTTTGCTTCTATCCAGACTATCTTCTCCAGTTTTCTAGTTTATAAAGGAAGACAATGACAAAAACACACAGCTCCAGTCCTCTGGCTTTACAAGTGAACATGGCACTAGAGGACAGTTCCCTGTTACCAGCCTTCTGTAGTGCACGGGTGTGTGTATGAGTGTGTGTGTGTGTGTGTGTGTGTGTGTGTGTGTGACATTTCTATTGTTGACCATGCATCAGAAAGGTGTTCTACCCTTAAAATGTTCCAATTAGATATTCTACTGAATGTCTTCTTGGCCATCGCTGTAGACAATTTGGCTGATGCTGAAAGTTTGAATACTGCTCAGAAAGAGGAAGCTGAAGAAAAGGAAAGGAAAAAGATTGCCAGGTAACTGTGTTTTCACTTAAGGTGCTGCCAGGGAGCCAGCTGCGGGTGAGGCCTGGCCGAGCCACACGGACTCCACAGCTGCTCCATGTTGCCTGTCAGTGGTGATCTTGGATGGCCACATGGGGCCGGCCCCAAAGGCTGGGATCTGGGGCAAAGCCTGGGCTCGTGGCTTGCATCCCCTCAGAGCTGGAGGTGGGAGTCACACGTCCCTGTGCCTAACGAATCGCTGTGGTTAATTTTGGCACCGTAAAATAAACGATGCATTCAGTGCCGATTCGCTTCTGGATGAGAATGCTAATAAGATGACCCGTGAAATGAATCCAGCGCCCTGAGTGAGCAGGAAGCTCTGAGTGCGGGCTGTGCTGCGTTCCAGCGGGTAGGGATGTTTCCAGTGAGATGCTGCCCTTCCCCAAGCCACTGCTGATGCAGAGCCCTGATGAGTGTTTATGGGCGGCAGCGTAATTACTTGGTGTCTTGGGTCCTGTCCTCTCCTCTGCAGAAAAGAAAGCTTGGAAAATAAAAAGAACCACAAGCCGGAAGTCAATCAGATAGCCAACAGTGACAACAAGGTACATGATCTGAGACGCTTTCCCCCTGTCTGTTTCAAAATGACTCACCATAATTGTGCACTTTCCACCGTGAGAGTGTGCTGTGCGGTATTTGGGTGAGTATGGCACACTCTTGTACACGCTGGCTTCCAGGGATCTGAGTGAGTATAGGGACTTCACTGGTGATTAGCCAGGATTTTACCAGAGAACCAGTGTGTTACCTATTGGACTGGTCTGACCACTTATTTTTTTCTTTTTTGAACTTGTGCGGTCAGACCTGACCTGTTAGTCTTCTCGGTGGGGATTGAAATCCAGGGCTGTGCATGAATGTCTGCCCGAGGATACTGCAGGGCGAGGGCCTGTGTGCTCTGGCCTATTCTGTGAAACCCCACAGATGACAGCTCTGGGCTTTTCATTCACTTGGTTGTTTGTTCACTGAGTTGTTAAATACTTTCTGTACAGTTACCATGTGCCAGAGACTGAGGATTGAGGCTGAACGAGACCAACAAGTTTCCCAGCTGCATGGCGCTCGCTGTCAGTATGTGAGGCCGCTGGGCGCTGTGACCACAGCTGGGAGGGGCGTCACATCATCTGCCCTCAGACCTCAGTCTCCAGCAGGGTCTGCCTGGGCACCTGCTGCCCTTGCACGCTCAACCATCACCCTCTGAGGGACTCCTCTGCCCCGTGCTGAGTGGCAGGGGTGAGGCCCTCCTTGGCCCCCAGAGCATTCAAATCAGAATCTCCCCTCCTCCCAAGATCTCTCTGTCATCCTAGGTCACAATTGACCAGTACCAAGAAGAGGATGAGGACAAGGACCCCTACCCACCCTGCGACGTGCCAGGTATGGTGGCGGCCTTTGCCGCCGCTCTGTGATCTGCCGCTGCATCTGCGGCTGCGAGCCCGGCTGGGTGCACACTGGGCTGCTGAGGTCGCCGAGGCCACGAGTCCACTCCCCTGCTTTTCCTCTGGGTCACAGGCAGCTCACATAACGCACATTCCAGGTGGTGGGAGAGAAAGTGTAGGTGGGTCAGGATAACCCCAGCCTTTGCTGGAAGATCTCTTTAGGAACAACCAATTATCATGACTCGCCTGACACTTTCCCACTTGACTGGTGCCTGTATTGGCTGATGTAGGAGGGACTGTGGCGGTAGAGGAGCATGGGGGACTGATCACGTGATCATGTATGACTTGAAGGCCCACACAGTGTTTTGGGCCGAAGCTGAGCAAGGAGGTCACTGGGAACACAGCTGGGGGGGTGGGTGGGTGGCCGTGAGAATCACATTGTTGCCACCTCTTACCTGCGCTCAGATCTTCCAACTGCTGGGCACCTCATCCCCACAACTACACGCACTCCCGTGCAGGCAAGCTGCTCAGTCCCTGCCTCGCCCGGACACACACACAGCCCATATTCTACAGGGTTTTGATTCTTGTAAGCTGATCGATGTTGTTAAAGGTTAAGCTAAATGTCCATGTGACATTGAGAGTGATTAAAGCCCGAAGTCAGCCTTTATTCATGCCTATAAAAAAGTGTCTCACTTAAAGTAGGGGAAGAGGAAGAGGAGGAGGAGGAGGAGGAGGATGAGCCTGAGGTCCCGGCTGGCCCCCGTCCTCGCAGAATCTCTGAGTTGAACATGAAAGAGAAGATCGTCCCCATTCCTGAAGGGAGCGCTTTCTTCATTCTTAGCAAGACCAACCCGTAAGTGTACCCCCTCTCCAGTCACAGCCCTGTGACCTTCCAGGTTGCATGATGGGGAGGGTGGCTGGGGACAGAGCAGCTCCTTTCTGCACCTGAACATGGGAGCCTACCCTCCAGGCTTCAACCCTCCCCAGCCCCAGCCTTTGTCCACTGCTCATCTCTTCCTAGCCTTGCTTTCCTGGATGTAGGGGTTGCAGGAGTGTGGCCAGGGCCGGGAGGAGCCTAGTCAAGATTCTCCTCCCCTTCACCCCTGCTCTGAGCTCGGTAGTGTTGAAACAGCTGCTCCTCCTCGGAAGGAGCCCATGGCTCTGGCCTTCCCTGGGTGGTCACCTGTCACGTGATCTCCATCCAAAGGACCCTTTCTTCCCAGCTGGGTCTTCTGTTAGGATGCTTCTGGGGATGGGAATTTTGTCATCGACTTCTGCCCAGCTTCTTCATCCTGAGGTCTAGTCCAGCTGATCGCTTTTCCCGGTTGAGTTTTCTGGCAATAGATAATATTGCTCAGTGATATTTTATAGGTTGAGTTAGTCGATTCAGCTCTGTGGTACCCTCTTAAAATGGCATTGCTCTTGTTAACGTGACAAGATGCTCTCCAGGAGCGCAGCACCTGCTCACAGCTATGGGAAGAGGAAGATGCTTCTGTATTAGCGGGGTTCTAGGTTTCCAGGCATCTGGGACGGAGGGGAATGCCAGAGGGAATAGATGACTCCTGGAGGAAAGGTTCTAGAATCTTCTCCGGGCTGTCGGAGAAGAACTCCGGGCTGTCGGAGAAGAACTCTGAAGGCCCCGGGAGACATAGGCGGGAAGCAAGGCCCACTGTGGTCCCGAGAGACTTGATGATGTGATGATAGCTTTTCCACTCATCACCGTTGAGAGTTTGGGCATCCCTGACGTCACTGACACCCATGGCCTGCTGTCTCCCTGTACTGAAGGACGGACTGATTCCCTGCCCTCAGCCCCGGGGGCTTTCCCCACACTCGGCTGCCATCGGCTTGCACACCATCCAGGGAACTTTTAAGCTTTAACCAGCCCCAAAGGGAGGATCTGAAGCGAGGAGACACTTTTCCTATAGAGTTGACTCCAGTTTTGAGATAAAAAAAATCTTCTGAAAGAAAATCTATATGTATTCTATAGGCAGAAAAACCCCAAAACCTTTAAATTCTAAAGTCGGGTATTGGGGTGAAGGGTAGTCAGGCACTGACTAGCTCCTGGATGTCAGGGGCAGCAGGAAGCTCCGATGGCCATGGAGCTATCATGGGGGTGGGGGCCAGACAGGGGTGCTGGGCACATGTTGCCCTCCCAGCTTTATAGGCCCTATTGCAAATACACTAAGATCCTTGTGAGATTCTTTTTAAATATATATATATATATATATATATATATATATATATATATATATATGTTTTTTTTTTATTGATTTTTTACAGAGAGGAAGGGAGAGGGATAGAAATGTCAATGAGAGAGAAACATCGATCAACTGCCTCCTGCACACCTCCTACTAGGGATGTGCCCGCAACCCAAGTACATACCCTTGACCGGAATCAAACCTGGGACTTTTCAGTCCACAGGCCGACATTCTATCCACTGAGCCAAACCGTTCCTGGCCCTTGTGAGATTCTTGCGTGCTGATGTAACTCTCACTTCCCGTTCTCAGGAGCGCTCATTATGGGTCAACTCCAAATAACAACAATAACAATAATAATAATGCAGCACTATGACAGAATCCCCACATAACAGGGCATTCACCAAATTTCTCTCACTCTCACTGCCGCCTACGTTAGCACAGCCGCGCTGCAGTACGAGAAGGGGATCGCTCCTCCCATTGGTTGCGAGCTGCTGCGATGATGAGTTCCCATCCCAGTCTCCTTCCCGGCCAGGCGCCAGGCCTCATGTTGTAGCAGGAAACGTCACAGTCAGCCCGGGGATGGAAACCCTGAGACAGTTCGTTCACGTGCTTGAGCCCAAGTCTCTCCTCCTTTAGCAGGTGGTAATCCCCACGCTGAAGGACTCCGAACGGTGTCCGGGAGCTCCCACACACAGCCGCTCCCAGGCCCACAGGCTCTGCCGCTGGGGTTCCGAGGGGCGAAGGTCAGCTGGGCGGGTGTGTGGGGCACAGCGATGGCCGCCCCCGCCTGACCCGGCCGGCATGCGGGGCTGGGGTGCTGGTGGAGCGGGGTCCATGCTCAGACTCTCCCCACAGCATCCGCGTGGGCTGCCACAAGCTCATCAACCATCACGTCTTCACCAACCTCATCCTTGTCTTCATCATGCTGAGCAGCGCGTCCCTGGCCGCCGAGGACCCCATCCGCAGCCACTCCTTCAGGAACACCGTAAGCCACCAGGCGGGCGAGGACAGGAGGGTGGGGCCCTGGGTCCTCGCTGGCCTCTCCTGTCACCTGCAGAGCCTGGGAGGTCCGAGGGGCTTAAAGCTAGAGTAGGCATCGCGTTCCCCTGCAGGCACTTCCCGGTTCCCACTTGTAGGTACCAGCCCGGTTTTGTCTTACCAGGACAAACCTTTCCTGAATCATGTGCTTTAAACTGCATTTTATTTTTATTTTTTAAAATATATTTTATTGATTTTTTACAGAGAGGAAGAGAGAGGGATAGAGAGTTAGAAACATCAATGAGAGAGAAACATTGATCAGCTGCCTCCTGCATGCTCTCCATTGGGGATTTGTCCGCAACCAAGGTACATGCCTTTGACTGGAATTGAACCTGGGACCTTTCAGTCTGCAGGCCAACGCTCTATATCCACTGACCCACACCTGTCAGGGCTCAAACTTCATTTCACATAACCTGTAGTGTGATCAGGGACCCCGCTTCTCTTCTTCATTTTTGGCCGCCAATATTCTGATCCTTCTTTCCTCCCACGGCCTACTCCTCATCCGTGCCTGCTTGGATACCTCTGCTGGGTGGAAGACCCGGCAGGAGGGAAAGTAAAATTGAAAGCAGGTGTGAGGCATGCCCAAGAGCTTACTTAGGGCTGGCAGGGAAGACTTCTGTCCCCCAGGGGGGGACATTTGCCACCTTACCTGACTGGGTCACTGGGAGAAACACAAGTTAGGAAGGTGATGCATCAGTGGAGCTGAGTGGTTCTGTGGAGAGGAAGGTGGGGCAGGAGGTGTTTTATGAAGAAAACGAGTGGAGGGTTATGTTTCCTATCAATGGGTTTCATAGCGTAGGGGTAGCTCCTTGCACTGCGAATGCTGGACAGCATGGCACCCAGACAGTTCTTGCCTAAGAAGTCCCAGCTTCGCAGGCAGCTGGTTCCGCTGAATGTCCCAGCGTGAGATGGTTTGGAATCAGGACCTGCAGCGCAGTTTCAGATGGAAACTCAGAAACCCTCCCGGGCAAGGGCGGCCGGCGGGAGCCATCAGGCGTCGATGCCGTGCCTGCGTGGGACCTGGGTCTGCTCGTGAGGTTTAGAGATTGGAGCATTAAGACCAGTCACCAGATCAGTGCCCCAGGATTTCAGTTGTGACCACCAACCCTCGTGCAGTCTTTCCACTTCCAGACTCTCAGTTTGAAGCCTGGCAAAGCCAGCCTATCAGGCTGATAAGCACACGCTCTGACGGGAAGATAAAGAACGTTCCTCCGAGACTGGTGCTGATGTGACGATAACAGCCCTGAGCTTGTCTTAATCTTTTGGAACCAAGGCCCGGGTCCATTGGGTTCCGTGATAAAAATGAGACCCCCCTGGGGAAGTATCCTCACACGGCAGACTAGGTCCGGAGCTAGTCTGGAACAGACTGACTAAGAATTAATTTACGTCCGGGGCTCATAGTCTCATTTTTTATTGTAATTCCTTGCCCATGAGTTTATTCCCCTGCTGCTTTCCCCACGAATCCTGTTTTTAAATAGATGTACATGTGTCTGTGCATTGCTTTTTAAAGCACAGTCTATTTCTGTGTGTCTGGTAAGAACAGTTAGTATGAGGTCTACCCTTTGGACCACATTCTGAGTGTACAGATGGTACTTGTAGCGATGGGCATTGTATGACTGACACTATGTCCTTTGGACAGCTCCCCAGGTCCCCTCCCCAGCCCCTGACCACTTCATTCCACTTTCTGTCTGTGGAGTTAGTGATTTTTATCTCATGGAATTTCAATCCTGCAGTGCTCTTTTTTTGTTTTTGCTTTTAAACTCAGCCAAGTTATCAGTGAAAAGGAGAAGGAGGATGGGTGGAACCGAGAGATCTGAGAGTGTGGGCAGTGGTGTTTTTCTTGGCCGCCCAGGTGCTGTCAGCAGTAACAACCTGCTGTGACTGTGGAGGAATGAGGAGGAGGAGCAGAGGCCTGTAGTGGGTGAAATGCTTTGCGTGGCCTGGCCAGAAACACGGATACGCAAAGTTCATACACTCAGAAATGGAAGTCCTTTTGGAGAATGAATACCCTCTGAGAAGAGAACTTAACCTTGAGCTGAGGAGAGCTGGCCTTTGGGGCAGAGGCCCTCACCTCATTGGAACAGAGAGCGGAGGCCTCCTGGGGTGGCCCCCGCCCTTCAGCAACAGGGCCCGTGGCTCTCGGCTAGCATTCCGCAGGCCTCGCTCCGTGCTCCGTGATGCCAGGATGGGCTCCGTGGCCCGGGCAGGCAGCCCTGTGCCCTCCCCAGTATCCTCCTCTGTTAAATGAAAGGAGTACCAGGTTGTTACCAGACTCCCAACGCTGATCTGTTCAGTTCTTAAACCACAGTTGTCATGACAGTAAGTGGCTGAGACGGCTGCCTCTCCTGGGGGTCTCCACTGTCTCCTGGTGGCTGAGGCCCCCGAGCAGCCTTCCTTCGGTGGCGGTCAGACCTCTTGCTGCAGCCCACCTGCCCCTCTGTCCTCCTCCCCGGCTCTGAGAAAGGCAGAGACCCCAGAAGGGGTAAGCCGGTTGGAGAATAGATGATATTTTCAGGAATATTGGCAAAGTAGCCTGGACTGATGATTCTTACCTGGGCCAAGAGTTCTTTGGGTGGGAGAGGTTAAAAAGCAGTGTTGGGAGAGAGAGGGCTTGATGCAGACCAGGGTGGTGAGTGAAACTTCCCACCCAACCCCACACATCAGGGTGAAGAGCGGGGGTACTTACTCGCTGAGGAAATGGGCTGGCATTGGAGGGGAGTCCAGGAAGCTTCTGGCCCCTTTTCATGCCCCTTGCATCAGCATTTACGCTCCTCCACCAATCCGAAGCTCAACTGGATGGCAGTATATTTCATTCAGCCAAAGATGTCATTAAAAATTCAAGATGCGTGCAAGACTCTAATTTACCTGGTGCCACGAGTAATTTGTCAACGTGGTGCTCTGATGAGAAAGGGTTACTCATGAGGCACTTTTAGAAATGAGTCTCCGTCTGAGACGTGAGACTGGGGAGGGCGAGCCGGGGTGGCCGAGGAGGTAAGTATTTCCAGGTGCTCCCTGTCCATCATCCAGAGGAGCAGTGACTGGCCCGGGTGGGGCACTCCAGAGAGACAGGCTTATCCCGGGAGGGTCTCTGACTGCTGGCGGGAGTCCACCCGTGGGCATATGTATGGCTGTGGGGCCTGTCCGGGACCTTTTTTTCTCATTTCGTTGTTATGCCTTTCAGATACTGGGTTACTTTGACTATGCTTTCACAGCCATCTTTACGGTTGAAATCCTGTTAAAGGTAATGCCTTTTTCATTGATCCTCACCTACTCTAGTTCAGCTGTCGCAATAATAGTTTCACTTCTCTGTTTGCTTTCCAGATGCTAGGTTATGCAGACTATGTCTTCACAGCTACTTTTGCGTTTGAGATTGTTTTGAAGGTAACAGGTTCCGCAGGGCGTGAGTAAGGGGCCTGCTCCTGCGTGTGACACACCACAAAGCAGCGTCAAGTGCTTTGGATGATTTTTGTGTTTTGTTTTTTTATGTCTTCTGTGACCAAGCTTATACTTTTTTTTCCAATCAGAGGATTTCCCCCCCTGAAACTTTCACCTGTTTTGGCTCTTTCTTTTTAACCCTTGATGCATGTAGGACTTACTGTGGCTTCATGACAGTGATTGGAAATGATGCGTTGTTCTTTTTTTTTATATCCTCTGAACTGTGTCCACTGATAGCAGACACATCACTGTGTGTGAACTTTCTCCCACATCAGAGTCGGAGGAAATGCATTTATCCCGTGAAGGGCCTGGATCTCTTCTCATTTCTTTGACTGAATTATGATCCATTGGCCTAAAAATAGTAACAGCGCTATTTTCTTGCAACAGGATTTGCAAGATAACTTGGATCTGTTTGTTTTATGATGTTTTTCATATTACATCTGTTTTAATGGATGGGCTTACATTTACACAAACACAAGGAGCACCTTTCGGCCAGGGTGCCCGAAATGTACTGCCCATGCATGAGCGGACAGGTGCATGCGGTTTGTGTACCGAGGGGGAGAGCCGCCTGGGGCCTGGAGACCCACCGCAGAGAGCCCGGCACCCACTGCCTCCCGACTTGTGAAGCGGGTGGGGCCTAGCAGTCCTGGATAACGTGGCCTGTGACAACCATCAGAGCAAATCATCTCCCCGTGGGGCGATGAGCCTGGAAATGAGGAATTTTAACCACAGTTTTCTTTAAACCATTTTGAGGGTTTTTTTGTTGGTTCATCTCAGGGGAAAAAATGTATTTTATGTTAGACTACTGTGGAACTTGGGCTCTTTACAAAACCTGTAAAACGAAACCTCAATTAACATGGCTCGGGGATGGGGTATTTATTTTCTTTCCATTATTATTATTACTACTTGGCAATGAAAACATGAGCTCAACACCAACTAAACAACCAACCTGTGTAAACATTAGTTAGAAATCTAAACATCTCAGTTCCTTTTCTTGCCTTGAAGCCAGTGAATTTGGTTGTCAGCTCTCAGTCAGACCGTGCTGAGCCCGTGAGCAGATTCTAACAGTGGCCTCCATAGTAAGGAGCACAGAGGCGCGAGGCAGTGGGTGAGCGTGGGGTGAAGGGTGCTCCCCCAACCTCTGCTTGATCCCAGCTGCTTTAAAAAAAAAAAAATCCCTTCTATTCCTCAAACCAAATGGGGGAATGTTCTACTTCATCTGTTAGCCTGGTTAATTGAGGTTTTATTTTCCACATGTCTTAGTTATTAAATGAATATAGTTACTTTCTGGCAAGTGAAATCCTGGTCCATTTAAAAGAAAAAAATATATATTGCTTTTCACTTTCTGTATATTTACCCCAGTGACACAAATCTTCCACGTCATGCATCATTTTGAAAGTATTTTAGAGAGTGGAAAATAAGCTAAAACAAGGATTCAGAAAGCGGGAATTTGCCAAGAAGCATCCGACGTGTGGAACGGTGGTTCCCGGTGGCCTTGTGAAAATTTGGAAGGCTTTTTGGTTTAACGCATGAAATTGCCATTTTTGTATGTCAGAAAAGGTTGAGTGTTGGCGATTTCATATGGTCCAATTTTATGAGTTCCCAACTCTGCCTCTCCTCTCCTACGCTTACCTGAGCCTTCCCCATTCTTTTATTTACTTATCGTGTAAACAGTGAATTCTTTGTGTCTTACTGTTTCCATTCTGGGGAACTTCCTCACCAAACTCCTTTCCCATCACCAGTGAGAGTCTCACCGGAGCACCCACGATGTGGGCTCCAGGCGCTCGGGTTGGAGAGTAGTGGGCTGACTCAGGTGAGACGCGTATGACGTTTCCTAGCCACAGCTTCTCCACCCGGAGAATGGAGTGGGGAGAGCTGGTTAAAGTGGGTATATCATGAAGGACCATTAGGGGCAGGAAGGGGCCTCCTTGGGAACATACTGGTTTCTGTGTAGACAGAGCCGGTGAGGACTGGACCCTAGCACTTTTTAAAAAATATTTTTATTGATTTTAGAGAGAGAGGGGAACATTATTTTATTTTTATAGAGAGAAAAGGAGGGGGATAGAAAGTTAGAAACATCGATGAGAGAGAGACATCGGTCAGCTGCCTCCTGCACACCCCCCACCAGGGATGTGCCCGCAACCAAGGTACATGCCCTTGACCGGAATCAAACCCAGGTCCCTTTAGTCAGCAGGTCAACACTCTATCCACTGAGCCAAACCGGTTTCAGCAGAGAGGAACATTATTGAGAGAGAAACATTGATCAGCTATCTCCTGCACAAGCCCGGATATTGAACCAGTGACCTCTTGGTTCATGGGTAGAAGCTCACCACTGAGCCACATCGGCCAGGCCCCAGCGCTCTGTCCAGCCCAGGGTTGGAAGAGTGTAGGCTCTCCCAGGACTCAGGGCCTGGAGCAGCGTTGTGTGGGGAAGCCAAGCTGTCTGGGCAGCAAGTATGGTCACGTGGACTCTCTCCTGAGAGAGGCTCTCTGGACATGCTAGTGTTGTTCACGTTTGAAATTTGTTATTGCTGTAATAAGGTCTAGATTGTTCTCTTCTTTTGATATGTCCCCAAAGTGAGCTTCCCTTTTTTTCTTTTTGAACAAATAGCTCAGATGCTCAGCCCTGTTGGCTTACATTTCTGGCTTTCATAGCGCTCTCTTGTTAGTGGGTACTGTCCTCCAGGCGTTGTAAAGAGCCCAGGTTTCTCTTCCTCTGGGAGGAAAACCAGTCCCCTCACCTGGATTCTGCCCGTAGATGACGACCTTTGGAGCTTTCCTCCACAAAGGGGCCTTCTGCCGGAACTACTTCAACCTGCTGGACATGCTGGTCGTCGGGGTGTCCCTGGTGTCCTTTGGGATCCAGTAAGTGTTCCGGGGTGTGGGTGTGTGTACACGACTGCTGGGCAGGATGGTTTGCGTGAGGGATTTTAACATGATTCCTAAAGGCTGGGCATCATTTTAATAATCACATTTAGGTACCTGGCAAAGCTTCATGGGTACCTAGGCCAGAAAGCCCTGGGCAGCCCCTGCTTTCTTGTATTTCTCTTCTCCTTTTCGTGCCCATTGCTAGCTTGGATTTATTGCTCTCTGTGATACTGCTTTCAACAGAGTGAAAAAAGCCAAGTTCTAGTTCAAAGCTTTTTATCCCGCTTCCTCCAGGGCTGGGCCCAGGACCTTGAGGGCACTCTCTTGCTTCCCCATCTGGATGGGAGGGACTTGGACCAGGTGGCTTCTTGGAGCCCTTTCTCCAGGACAGATGACCCTTTTCTTTCTTTAGATGACCCTCTAAAATGTTCAGCGAGGAGGGGCTTGAGACTGCAAGTCAGGGCCCCCGGTCCTCTTCATGGCATTCAGAAATTTCTGGTGGGAAATAGCCCGAGCTGCAACCTGCTCACCTGCCACACCCAGGAGCTCCAGTGGGAGGCCCCAGGGATGGCCTTGCTTTCCTGTGGATTTCTAAGCACCACTGCTCAGTGCTGACCCTCAGTGTTTCCTCCGTGGGAGATGCATACCCAGCAACCGGTGGTCTGCAGACCACTGGGGATCCATGAGGTCCGAAAGATTGGCGACCGCTGCTCTAGGGGAGTAGTCCCCCTCACCTCCCACCACCGCCCAGGGGCAGGGAGCCACATAGCCATTAGCTTGGAAGGACATTCTAACCAGTATCTCTGCAGCTCATACAAACTCCTGGCTGTGCCTTCCCTCTCCAGCTCAGTCCTTGCCCACTGCCTCCCGAGCAGGTGCTTGGGTCACACACAGCCACCTGCCCTGCTAAGCGAGCTGCACGCTCTCACACAGGACCTGCCCACCTGGCACTCCCTGGGCCTGCAGCCCCTTCCCCTCTGTCTAGCTAACCCTCACTCCCCCTGGATGCACCTGGATATCACCGCCCCAGGGGGCCTTCCCAAGCTCCCCAAGGTGACACTTCCCTCTGACATCCCCTGTGTTGTCACACCTGCCCCATGGGGTTGCGATTTCCCATCTCGCTCCCCAAGTAGTGGACTCCTTGAAGGGCCGCGAAACCCAGCACCAAAGCAGGGGTCCAAAGTTAGAAACATACACACACAAAAAACACAAACAAAAAAAAAACACAAAAAAAAAACCCACACCAAATAAAACAGAAGCCTAAAAGCCAAGCACTGCCTATCATTTACATCCCCTGAAAAGAACAAAGCAGATTTCCTCAGTCCTGTCTCTGCCGAGGCCAGCTGTGCAGCTGACTCAGGGCCGCTGTGCCTGGGCCTGGCTGGGGAGGGTCCAGGAGTTGTGGCCATGCTCACCTGTGTGTCTCAGGGAGAGGTGAGCTCAGCTCCACAGGGGACCCAGCACGCTGGGCAGTGGTAGTAAAATGAGAGCCAAGTGTAGTATCTGTCTCTGGGTTTTACCCAACTCTAATGCTCTCTGCTTTCTTCCCTCCGTTTCTCCCCGTAGATCCAGCGCCATCTCCGTGGTGAAGATTCTCAGGGTCTTAAGGGTCCTGAGGCCGCTCAGGGCCATCAACAGAGCAAAAGGACTTAAGGTTTGGGCCTCTCTCCCGCAGGCAGGGCTTGCTTCGGCGGGGTGAGCTCCAATCCCTGACTTTGCTAGTGCGGGGCGGAGCCCTGATGGATTTTAAAGTGAGCTCACGTTTGAAAAGGACATTTCTACCCAGTGGAGCTCCCTCTGTCAAACCTGATACCATTTTTAACTGTTATGATTTCCTTTATTTAAAATATTTTCTTTATGTAATTACTCTTCATTTATTACTTTTGTATTATTGGTGGTGTTTGCTTTGGTCTTTAAATCTATTCTCATGCAGGTTGTACAAAAGAGGGTTTATGTTTTCCTAAGTCCTTCAATGGGGTGGGAAGTCCTGTGGGCCTGTGTGCCAGTCAGTGCCGTCCCTGTCCCCGCCCCCCTCTCCTTCCCCACACAGTGGCAGGAAACCAAGGTGGGATCCATTACAAGGTGCTCTTCCCAGGTAGCCATGATCTGCCGGGGCTAACTCCCCACAGATAACTACCTGAACACAGAGCCCCACAGAGTCAGGAAATCACACGCAGATGCAAGAGACACAGTCTTGGCTGGTATTAGTCTCCCCTTCATCCCCTCCTTGCTCTCCCCACAGCACGTTGTTCAGTGCGTTTTTGTGGCCATCCGGACGATCGGCAACATCATGATCGTCACCACCCTCCTGCAGTTCATGTTTGCCTGCATCGGGGTCCAGTTGTTCAAGGTACAGGACATGCCTTGGGGCACGAGGCCTGGATGATCTTGTCAGGGGCAAGCTTGCGTTTGACTCTCTTTGTCTGTTTTGTACTCAGGGAAAGTTCTACCGCTGCACAGATGAAGCCAAAAGTAACCCCGAGGAATGCAGGTGAATGTCCCGCACACAGGAGTGGGAAGTAGGGGAGAACAAATGGAAGACTTACAGGATTCGCCTGTGCCGGCATTTCAAAAGGCCTGTGTGCTCAGCCCCCGGCTGCAGCGATGGAGGGTGTCTGGGTTTTGTTTGCTTGTTTGAAGTGAAATTCACATCACATGAAGTTAGCCGTTTTAAATCATACAATTCAGTGGCATTTAGCATAATCCCTTTGCGGTGTAAGCACCACCTCTATCTCGTTCCAAAGCTTTCCATCACTTCAAAACAATGGGTAGATGGCCTTTGATGTTTGGTATAGACTCGACAGACTAGAGGGGAGGGGACTAAACCCTAACGTAACAGTCGAAATGCCCCGGAAAGCTCACCCTACAGCAAGCATGTCCAACTCAAATGCTAACATAGGCCAAGTACATGAGGCATGCAGCCTGAGGGCCGTGAGTTTGACATGCTTGCCCTTACAGCCACATGGGTAATTTTTCCTCAAACCAGAACTCAAAGCTCAACTCCCTGGAATTCAGGTGCTGGCTGCCATCTTCTGATAGGTTTCCTGCCACCCGCATTTTGGCCATATTTCCATTCACAAGAACGGGCAGAGGTGAGATAAGGTGGGAAATACTCATGCCTCCTACCCCAAGTCGTGCAAAAGAATGTGAGAGCAGACATGGAACCATGGCCTAAAGTCTAAGATTGGGCAGAAGCTTCTGTGTCCCCATCTTTTGATGATGTCCCCAAGTGAGGTCCAGCTGCCTGCACTGGTTTGGGGTTTCTTTTTAGCAGAAGGTGCAGTCAGAGAGCACTGATGTAATGCGGCTGGCTCTGCCCCTCCAGGGGCACCATGCCTGTAGGTTGGGGATGGAGGGCGCCCCCTGGAGTTGAGCAGCTCAGTGACAGTGTGAAGTCACCTTCCCTTCCCCCTCTAAGCCTCTGCTTCCTCATCTGTAAAACAAAGACATCGACTCCTTCCAGAAATGAAATTCTATGAGAAATATTCTGTGCCAGAAATTATAGGATCTTGGGGGTGGGGGAATGGGAGATATTGTTGGTATAAAAAAGAAGGAATTCAATTAAAGCTCAAATGCAGATTAAGAGGATGCCTGGGCTGGCTTCCAGAGCTTATGGAATTCTCCAAGGCCAAAGCTTCTGATTCGTCAGCGTACACGCCGAGCCCAGTGCCTATGAGAAATGCTTACTATTTGGTAATTTTCATTTGTTATCCGGCACATGCCGGTGGCTGCCTCGTTGCTCTGGAGAATACTCATTAAGCTAGTAGTTACCCGACTGTTATGTGAGCCGGAGAGGAGGTTGAATGCAGGGCAGGAGAAGGAGAAACACAGGCAGTGCCATGCTCAGGTTAGCGGCCTGGCTGGCGGACCAGGTGTGCCTGTGCCTGCAGGGTGGGGATGGGGCAGCCTTGACCGATTTCACATCACGCCAATGTGACCCACATTTCTTCTCCTCCCCAGGGGGCTATTCATCCTCTACAAGGACGGCGAGGTGGATAACCCTGTGGTCCGTGAGAGGATCTGGCAAAACAGCGATTTCAATTTCGACAATGTCCTTTCTGCTATGATGGCGCTGTTCACGGTCTCCACATTCGAGGGCTGGCCTGAGTAAGTACAGAGCCACGTCCGCAGGGAGGCGTCTCCTGCCTCGGGGCACCCCAGCCCATCCTTCTCTCCGGAGGGAGTCCTGCTTTTCTCCACACTTGCAGGCTTTCCCTATGACTTTTAAACTTTGGGCCACTTATCAATCACTTCTTGGCCCACTGGGCCCCTCTGTCTGATTAGACAAAGGATTAACCTTCAGCTATACTAAATAGGGTCTTGATAATGTCCTGAGCCATTCATCCACCCATCCACCCAGCCAGCCAGCCAGCAGCCACCCCTAGTACTAATATGTACCAGGAGTTGATGACTGCCATTGTGCCATGTCTTTCATGGAGGCACGCACTTGCTCATTCATAAAATGTGCTTTTGGTACCAGCTCGAGGTGACCTGCTCTGCTAGACACCTTGGGAAAAACAGTTGTCTCGATATGGTTTCTTCCTTCAAAGCCCAAATGCAGTTAGTGTGTCAGGAGATCAAACCAGGCAGGAGGACCTGGTATGTCACAGACGTGCAGAATAGGGCCCTGAAGAATGGCTAGGATTTTGATGAGCAGAATAAGAAAAGCAGGAAGAAGGAAGGAGGTGGAATACAAAAGGAGGGCCTCTTGAACCTTTCCTACTCTCTGCTCTCTGCTGCCCCACCCCACCTCTAGCTCCTGCCACCAGAACATAGGCATGTAGATGGAGTCCTGAATGTCGAGTTCCCAGGCCTAGAGGGACTGCAAAAGGTGGACAGCCTGGTCTTCTCAGGCTGGCAGACCTTCTGGATGCACGAGAGAGCGGGGAGCTCTACAGGAGAGCCTGTGGGGAGAGGCTGGCTGGGTGGGGCTGTTCACTGAGGAACTGGTGCTGAGGAGAGAAGAGGCGTGGAGTAAGATCTTTTCCTCTATGGAGGTTTTGAGTCTCAGGTTTCGAACATTGTGCTTCAGCAAATCATGGGGGCAGCTGAAGGGAAATGGACAAGGTTGGAACTTGAGACCTAGAGTTGCTGGGCTCAACTCCGGGTCTGCCCCCGAAGAGTGTGACCCTGGGCACTGAGATCCCTCTCTGAGCTCCCATATGTCCGCCTTTGCAGATGGACATTGAAGGTGTGCAGCACACCATCCCTGGGTGTCCTGGAAGTGTTGGCCCTGCATCCGAATGGGGCTGAATTTAACTTGGTGGCCTTTTGTAGTGCCCCCTCTTCCTGTTGAGTTCTGCTGGGCCTGTATTTACCGCAGTTCAGTGGTATTTCAGCTTGGGGAAGCTCTCTGAGTTCTTTGGAAAGCCACGGTTGCCCGCTGTAGTCTTTGTCAGTGTGCAGCTTTCAGTTCAGCCAGTGCCTACATGAGACATTCCTCCTCTTCTACCTGGAAATAGGAAGGAGTGAGATTGAATAATTGTGAAATCTTTTGTTTTTCATCCCTCCAAGCATCAATCACAAATATATCCCAGCTGCCCCCACCTAGGTGCTGGGCTGACCGGGCCTCACACTAAGGAGGGTGCCTCAGAGACCCGCCTGTATGGGGGCCTTGGGCAGGGGCTCCACTGAGGGGTCTGACCAGCAGCGCCAAGGGGACATGCAGAAGAGGGACACCCTGGGAAGGCAGTGGGGTGGGGCTCCCGGACTGGGTGGGGCTGTTGCGCTCATTGGGACCTTCTGCTGTCCAGGTTGCTGTACAAAGCCATCGACTCGAACGGAGAGAACGTGGGCCCGATCTACAACTACCGCGTGGAGATCTCCATCTTCTTCATCATCTACATCATCATCGTCGCTTTCTTCATGATGAACATCTTCGTGGGTTTCGTCATTGTCACATTCCAGGAGCAGGGAGAGAAAGAGTATAAGAACTGTGAGCTGGACAAAAATCAGGTTAAAGTCACACACTGTTTGGGCTTCTGTCCCTCGAGCAGTAGAGGGATTGCTTCTCCGTTGATGGTTTCCCCATGCACAGAGGAAGGTGCTGCCTGTGTGTGTCCCTGGGCTTTGGGCCCTGCTCAGAGCACACCCATGGCCGGTCTGAGTCATGGCTGTGGAAAGTGAGGTTCTCAGATTCAGACTTGACTTTGTCATTGTGGGATCCACCCCCAGACCTGGGCCACCTCTGTGATCACGACCCACCAGTGACAGTTCTCAGTATCATCTGGTGGTGTGGCCAGTGGCCAGAACTCCTAACGACAGTCTTTTATCTCCTCAACCGCTGCACTGTTGGCATTTCAGGCCAAGAGTTATTGCTATGCTTTGTAGCATGTTTAGCAGCATCCCTGGCCTCTGCTTGCTAGACTCCAGGAGCACGCCCCAACCCCTGTTTTGGTGACAACCCCAAAGATCTCTAGATGTTGCCAGATGCCTCCTGGTTGAGAACCGTTGGCCTAGAAGGAAGTGTGCTCTCACACCACAGGAAGAGGTGCTAACTTTAAGCTTGGGACTAAGATCGTACTGGCATCAATCTCTCGTTATCTAGCACCTTGTTCTAATCAACTCAATAGAAGCAGGGGCCTTGGCTCTGATTATGTGGTGATGTGAGGGAGCCAAGTGGCCTGTATCTGGTCTCCCTGTACCTGCTCTGGGACTGTGGATGTGTCCCCAATCCCCTCTGTCTGCTCCTTTATGGGTAAATTTAGGAGTTGCCTGTAGAGGCCCCTTTCAGCTGTAAAAGACTGTGAGCTGGAGATGCTGCTCTGAGAGTTTCCCCGGGTCCTCTATCATTGGCATCTTGGTTTGATGATGACAGAGCGAGCAAGAATAGTCTGCCAGCCTGGGCTCCCTGGGGGAAGTGGCTGTGGTGAGGCAGTCTGTCGGTCTCGCCTGCAGCCATGCCCACAGGGGGACACGTGAGGACAGTGCTGGCTTGGTTTCTAAGAAGCTGTTGCTTTGAGTTGTCAGGAGATCTCTGCAGATTCCACAGTGACAGTCAGAGAGAGGCCTGGCCCTGCTCTTCACCCCCAGCCAGGCAGCACCAGAGTTGAAATTATGTCACCACTGAGGTCTAGAGCAGACTCGGATTGGAGGTGGAGGGGGTCCCCTGGAGTCACTGTGTGAGGGCATAGCAGGGCCAGGGCCTAGTCAGGAGGGAGCCTGTCTGAAGTCAGAACTGGGTCCAAGCAGAAGAATGGAAGTAGGTCTGGGCCAAGGTGCCAGCAAGGCCTGATGCCGAGCTGTGGGGGCTGTAGGCTCCCTCGGGCTCACTGCAATGGGCAGACCAGCCTCAGCCCCAGAGTGAGTGGGGAGGCCGTCGTTACTGATCCAGAGGTCTGAGAAGGGCAAGCCCCTGAGCCTCAAACGCTTGCAGATGGACACACAGCTGGCTCACTATCAGTCACTCACAGCTAACACACCCAGCCCTGAGAGATGACTTGCATGGGTCCATCCTGGACAGCTGTGGTGCTCCAGTCTCAGGCAGTGAACCAGCCCATTGGGTTCTTGGGGTTGTCTGTGCCTCTTGTGACCTGGTCTCCTCTCCTGGAGGGCAGCTTGGGCAGGAGGACTGCAGGTCCAACCTGCTGGTGTAGACAATGGCAGGAATGAGAATTGGGGCAAGGCCATGCTTGTGCACCATGCAACCTCGGGCGGGCCATTCACAGCTCTGGGCTCAGTTGTGGGTTGTTTGTTTGTTTTGGTTAATCTTCGCTAGAGGATATTTTTTTTGCCATTGTTTTAGAGAGAGTGGAAGGGAGGGAGAGGAGAGAGAGAAACATGATTGTGAGAGAGCCATATCCATTGGTTGCCTCCCAGAGCTCCCCAACTGGGATGGGAACCTGCCACCCAGGTATGTGCCCTTGAACCAAATGGAGCCCACAACCCTTCAGTTCCCGAGCTGGTGCTCTGACCACTGAACCATGCCAACCAGGGCTTGGCTCAGTTTTGTAATAAGTAAAGTAGAAGCAGCCTGGGGATACAGGCACGCCCAGGGTGCTGTGACAGTCAGAGGAGGTGATGGACCTGGGGCCCTTTGTCCCTGATGCAGAGTAGTGCCCGCGGGGGCTGTCGAGTAGTTTACCCCTGGATCCCGGGTCCCTCCCAGCAGGTGCTGCACCGGCTCTTTCAGAGCAGGTGGGAGCGTCGTCCTCCCTCCGTGGACGGGCTCAGGACCCCCTGTTGCTCTTCTCTCCCATTGCAGCGTCAGTGTGTGGAATACGCCTTGAAAGCACGCCCCGTGCGGAGATACATCCCCAAAAACCCCTACCAGTACAAGTTCTGGTACGTGGTGAACTCCTCGCCTTTCGAATACATGATGTTTGTCCTCATCATGCTCAACACACTCTGCTTGGCCATGCAGGTAAAATGGAGACGCGTGGAGATGGGGATGGAGTCTGGGCCTTCTGCGCAGCCCGTGCCCGGATGTGAGGGTGGAAGGCCAGCCTCTCACCAGAGGATGGGTTTGATTTCTGATGAGTCAGGGCTGTAGTTTGGTCAGAATCCAGTCTTGGCTAGCAGTCATCATGGTGGGAGTGTAGAGGCTGCCTGTACAGCGTGGCCATCGGTAACATTTCCGTGGAGCCAGAGCATTCAATTCTGTAACCTTTCCTGGGCTCCCGGGGCCAGGGCGTGGCTGAGGACTGCGCTCTGTGTGTGAAGTTGGACAGATGGGTTCCAGTCCTGACTCCTCACGTCAGGGCGGGGGCGGAGTGGGGGGCAACCTTGGCAAGGTTGTTTACATCCCCAAGGCTGCTTTCTTTATTGCCAAAATGGGAAGAGCACAATGCCTGCCTCAGATATCAAGTTTATGTTGGATACTTTGTGCCAGGCACTTTGCACTGGGCCTGTCACCCAGTGTTGAAAAACAACATACAAGTCCCATGCCTGTCCTCAGGGAGCTCTCAGTGTGCGGTGGGGATCCTTCCGCTCATGGAGCAGTGAGTTTGGTCTGCGGCACTGCTATTCCCTGCTCACACTGGGGGCAAGGAGTCAACTCCTTGTACTCCTCAGTGGGGTACACTGGATTACAGTGTATTAACTTTTAATATAATTATATATATATTTAACATAAGTGCTATTATATAATTACTAGACGTAATAGGTAGCCTTTCCAGTAGTTTATTGTCTAGTTGCATGAGGACAAGAAGCAGAAACTAAGGTCTAGATTCAGTTTTCACACTGACTTGAAGAGCGTTAGCAAGCCAGCTCCCAGTGTTGTCTGGAAAATGGGTCTAAAGACAGCCAGTTATAAATTCCCTAGCACTTTCCTTTAATGTAAGAAATCTTTATGCATGAAAAAAGGACCATGTGCTGATGTAGGGGCAAGTGGGAAGTCAAGATATTACTGCCTTTTATTAAACATAGAACTAAAATGGCATAAAGTTTATGCCTAAGCAAATGCTACCTTTATTCATGGGCATTTGGGTGGATTCTGCATTGTGCCCGGGTCATGGCACTGAGTGGGATCCCTGCCAGAAGGAGGGATGGGCTCCTTTTATCCTGAGCAGAGGCAATTGATGTCTTTCCCCTTCCGCATCCAGTCATCCTCGCCTTGCCAAGGCTTCCTGCACTTCGTGGGGAGGGCTTGTGACCTGGCAGTGCCAGTGGAGTCATTGGGGGAGGGTGCTGGCCTGCGGAGGGTGCCTGTGTCCTCAGAGGGCACTCGCCTCAGAGGAGGGGCTGGGGGCCTCCTTCTGTGAGCCCGGAAGGGGCCTCTGAGAGCCGTTTTCCCGTCTCTGTCCACAGCACTATGAGCAGTCCAAGATGTTTAATGACGCCATGGACATTCTGAACATGGTCTTCACTGGGGTGTTCACTGTCGAGATGGTTTTGAAGGTCATTGCGTTTAAGCCTAAGGTGAGTTGCTGAAACCGTTTCACAGAGGCTGTTGCTGAATCACCCCAGAGAAGCGCCCGCTTCCTGTTAGTCTTGTGTCAGTGAATTGTGCTGAATTGTTCTGGCCGCTAACTGGGTTATCACCTGCGAACATTAAAATCTGATTAGGGCATCCGTATACATAGGAGACAATAAATCTGCAAAAACAAAACCTCATAAAAACAATTCTAAGAAGAGGAAGAAGGGAGGAGAGCGTTGGGAATTGGTGGGATGGAGGCTGTTTTGAACCCATTTTCTGTTTCTAGAACAGCATTATCAGGTTGTCTTGGGGACACTTGCTTCGTTACTGGAGCACTTTCCTATAACTCATTAGAAAGAATTCGGCCCCGATTTTACTTCTAGATTTCTAGGAAAAAGACTTTAGTTTTGTGTGTTCTTGGTCTGCAGCATCTTCTTCACCTTTTATGGAAACTTCTCCCCGCTGCAGACCTCTCAGAGCCATACCATTTTCTTGTGTATTTAATTTAGACACTTTTCACTTTAAGACAAAGCAAGACATGAAATATGTCTAACTGTATTGGACAGTTCAGCATAGTGTATCTCCTTTGGGAGGCAGTGAGTCCACCTCACATCCGTCAGTGTCCGTAGTTAACAGATAGGCAGATAGAACAGTGTCGAAGAGCACGCCCAGGTCTGGAGTCAAATCCCTGTTTGGCACCCACTCATCGAACAAGTTCCTTAACTGCTAGATGCCTCCGTTTCCTCCACCACAAAGTGAAGACACGATGGTCCTGTCACAGGGTGCTGTGAGGAGGAAAGAATCCCTAGGTGTGCCGTGCTTGGGCACGTGGTACCAGGCTGTAGATGTGCCAGGTGGTCACAGGCTGTAGTACTGTGACTGTCACCACCACCACCACCACCACCACCACCACCAATCACCTCCAACCAACGACATTCCTTTGTTTTAAAACCCTGGGCAGAGCAGCAATCCTGGCTGAGCTGTCGGATGTTTGACCCTCAAATCCTTTTCTAGCAAAGCCCCAAACTGTCAGTCAGAGGATGACAAGCTCAGCGACCCAGTTATTGGTTCATTTGTATGGAAGGTATCTGTCAAGACTCATTTATCCTTGGGTTATGATTTTACATACTCCTGACATTCATGGAATTCTAATTCAGAACTGTTCCTTTCTTTAATTTGAATTAATTTCTATGCAATCTCTGTCAGCTCTTTGTGGACCCAAAAGAAAGGACGCTAGTAAGTGACCAGTTGGGGCGATTGCAGTGGGGTCAGATTTGGCACTTTATGCATGGCCAGGTGTTACTTCCTGTGACTTGTCCATTCCTACACACACACACACACACATTCCCTCTTTTTCCAAACTCATCTTAATTTCCTTTGGAGATTTTGGTTTGCTTCCCTCTCACCTTTACTTCTTTGAATAATATGTGTCTGGACTGATGGACGTTCGCAAAGTAACAAAGAAGTCCTTGAGAAATGCAACACGGATCGTATCTATGGAGCATTTCCCAGATCCCCACGCTACGTCTCCCCTCCCCTCGCTGGCGGTTATGCTCTGAGGTTTCCAAAAGCGTGTTTGTTCTAGGCTGAGAAGGCCCACTTGCCCATGGCATGTGTGTGAGTGTGTGTGTGTATCGGTGTGTGTGTGTCAGTGTGCTTGTATTATGTGTGAGTGTGAATGTGTGTGCATGTATGTGTGTATTTGTGTGTATGTGAGTGTATATGTTTGTGTGTTTGTGTGAATTTGTGCATGGGAGAGCGTGTAAGTGTGTACCCTGCAGCAGGCCATTGCATCAAGGGTTCGTTGCACACTCCTCTGCCCATTAAACTGCTGATACCAAACCTGGGGTGCAGGGAGAGTTCGGTGGCCTGTTAACAGACTGGAGGTACTAAGGGAAAATTTATAATCAGCACTGATCAACCAGAGTTTTAAAATGAGTGATTTCCGCTAGACATTGAGCTGCTTTGTAGTTTTACTTAGTAAGGTACTTTCATAGCATAAGACAGCCTCAGGTTGCAATTGAGAACGTTTGTCACACTGATAGCAGTCTTTCTGTGCTTGTGGGAGCTCTGTCACGGGGTCACCAAAGTCCAGGCTGCTTTGTGCCTGGAGAGCGGGGAACAATCAGTTCACCAAGTGACATGCAAAGCTCTGCCTAGAGCACTCTCTGGCTTATCCTCATCTCCCTTCACTGTTAACATCCAGCCCCTTGAGATGGCCTGCACAGGCCCAGTGGTGAGGTGAGGGCCCTCCTTCCTGGGCTCAGAGACCCTGGAGGCTGCAGGGGGAAGATTCTTTGAGGAGATGGCCACATGGAATGGAGGCGTGGGAAACCTGGCCCATCAGTCTCATAGGGAAGTCTCTCCTGGGAGGAGCTTTGTAACACAGACTCCACAGTGAGGGCACACCTTCTAGAAGAACTTCAGCATCTCGGTCAGGGCAGCCTGGGTCACAGCTGTTTTCATTCAGATACAGGCAGTGAGTTGGACAAAACCCTTCTTGGTAGACATAGGAGGAAAGGTTAAAGCAAATCGAGAGACCTGACCCTGGGGACTTCTTTCATATTCAGACCCTGACGGAGAAATGGGGCCTCTTGAGAGAGAGCTCAATGAGAGGGACATGGTCCCAGGACCACAAGGGGAGGTCACCTGGCCGCCACCAGCAGGAAGGGTTGAGGTGGGCAGACAGTAGGAAACCCAGAGCTGAGGGCTTCCTGGTGGGGAGGCAGGCTTCCTGGGTGGGCAGAGTTGGTTTGGTGAGGTAGGAGTACAAGGCCTGGGGTGGGGCTGGAGCCAGGTAAAGGGGGCAACAGGGAGAAAATAGGGGACATCTATAATACTCTCAACAATAAAAATAAATTTAAAAATTAAAAGAAGAGTGCAAGGTGGTGAGAAGCCACAGAGCCAAGGAGTAGACCAGCAGTTTTCAACTGGTGTGCCACAAGAATTTTTAAAACTTGCAGTACTAAACTGTTTAATCAGGAGCACAGACCCCTTTCCCTTATATTGTAAATAAAACAATGATAGTAGCCAGCACAGCCATAGCAGTCTAGTGTGAATGATCAAAATTATCCCTCTATTTTTAATTTTGATGTGCTGCAGAATTTTAATAATTAGTTTATGTGTGCCATGAGATGACAAATGTTACAAAAATGATGGATCAGGGCAAAGCAAGCAGGCTGTCTAGTGTGTTGTGTCAGCTTCCCAGGGAAGCTGTCGACTTGGAATTGACCTTGAAGTGCCCTAGGGTTTTGAGTGAGCAACAAGTCCCGTTCCCCTGGCCTCGCCCTCCAGTGTTCCCCGGGAAGCCCCTGGAATTCTCCGATGAATTCTCTTGCCCCAAGGAGGGGGATAAAGGGCCTTTTCCAAAGTATTGGCTCCCACAGGTAAGGAGAACAGGTCGAGTTCATCTGAGGCTCCTTCTTTGAGCTTCTAGATGTCAACCACCTGCTGTTTGGTCCAGTACGTGTTCCGGACAGATTGCCTGCCATTGTCATGGGCTTATCCCCAGAGAGCCACACGCTGTTCCCAAGTCTTAGGCAATGAAATATTTTGATCATGCTTCTACCTCAAAAAGGGCTAACTTACATGCCTAGCCACTTGGGTTTGGCAAGAGTAAAGAGTAGTTAGGTTGGGGGGAAAAAGTGAATTTTAGTGCTGCCCGTGTGCTTCTGCTAACGCACAGCAGACACCAGGCATCTGGCCCCATCAGCCTCCCAGGATGGCAATCTCCACTCCAGGGTCCCAGCAGGCATGGAACTCACTAAGAAAACTTTAGCAGACGTTCCTAGCAGACGTTCTCCACCTCCTGGGAAAAGAATTTGATGCTGTCTTCTCATTTCTTCAGGGGTCACATATAATGAAGGTGATTGATTTTAATGCCAAATAACAGTCCATTCTCCTTCTCCTTAACTAGAACTCTCGGTCTGACTTGCTCACCTCATGGGCTCAGCCTGTTCCTTTGATATTGAGTTTCTCTCCCGGGCCCATTCTCACCTGGTAAAATGGGTACCTGCCTAGGCCCTCATGGACCTTTGCAAAGGCTTTTGCTAGTTAGAAAGCCGCCAGCTACAGCCTCTGTAAAAAGTTGGCACTATGGGTCATTCCTTGAGTCAATGACCTTTATAGCATCCCAATCTCTCCCGCCTCCTTTCTGAGTTACCCTGACAGCTACGCCATCTCCCTGCCTCTGACCTCAGCCCCTCTCTGTTCGTTTCCCACAGACTCCCTTTGTGAACCCTAAGCTGACTGTGCCCCTCTCCCAACGAAATTCTGGTAGTGGCCACCAAATACATGAGAAACATAGGATTCTTTCTTTAAAAAAAAAAAAAAATATATATATATATATATATATATATATATATATATTTTATTGATTTTTTTTTACAGAGAGGAAGGGAAAGAGATAGAAAGTTAGAAACATCAATGAGAGAGAGTTATCAATCAGCTGCCTCTTGCACGCCCCCTACGGGGATGTGCCCACAACCAAGGTACATGCCCTTGACCGGAATTGAACCTGGTACCCTTCAGTTCACAGGCTGACGCTCTATCCACTGAGCCAAACTGGTTTCGGCAACATAGGTTTCTTAGTCTCATGTCAAAGCCTCCACTAAACCTTGGCCCACTGATGTTTCTGCCTCATTTCTAGCCACTCTCTCCTGGTCATTCCTTCTCCACACCCATCCCTAGCTGTTTACATGCTAGGCTTTTCCATGGCACATGCTTCTGCCTGTTATCCTTTAGCCTGTCTGAATTGTTGGCTCCTCTGTAAATCTATGTCTATCAACCCAGCCCAAGCCAGCCCCTTCCAAAGCATTGTGTGATTAGATGCGTATGGTGTGTTAGCATCATCATTGCTACTCCACACCTCTCTCTCCACTAGCGATGCCACAGGCTGGTCTTCTTTGTCTCCCATGATGCCTGCTGCAGGCTCGTTACTCAAGATTGTAGACAGGAATAAATGGGTGAGCCTGTAGGGATACCCTCTTGGCATAAGGGCACCTGATTCTCCATCATAGGATATTTGGGCAGAGTGGAAGTCGGCAAAAGTATGTTGTCCTGCAAACCCTCACTTGACCTTTGCAAAGGCTTATGCTAGTTAGAAAGCTGCCAGCTACAGCTGCTATGAAAAGTTGGCACTATGGGTCATACCTTGAGTCCAATTCTGCCCTGGCAGAAACTGGTCAATGACCTGGCTGTCAAGATCAACCACAGGAGTGGGTCTCCGGGCAGCAAACTGACCCTGGGTTTGGGCTCCTGTTTCCCGTATGCAGCCATCCCACAGGCTTCCTCCTCCATGGTGCCAGGCCTGTGCTACCTCCTGGCTTCAGACCAGACATCGACAGGCAACCGGGGTAGAATTCTTGGACGTAATGGAGTTGCCTGGCCTCAAGGCCCACATTAGTCTGGTTTCTGATTTTCAGTGTCTGGAGTCAGACTTGTTGTGGGTCATAGATGTTATTGCAAGTGGCTGATTTGCTTGGTCTTTTCAAGCAGGTGGCACTGAACAAAAAGTAATCTAAGGGCTGATTCTGGCTGGGCTGGCAGGGGCTGCTGGTTCCACTTGCGGGCCCGGCCTCAGAATTCAGCTGGAGATGTGTTGTGTGTCAGTGGCTGAGGGGGATGGAGAGGGCCCTCTGTTGGAAGCCAGTGTCTCATTTTCATGACTGATAGGAAGAGACAATGCAGCAGGTCAGGCACTACCTAGTTCAAGGCTCTGGGGTTGATACTGGGATTAGTGGAGGAGAGGACAGAACCATCAGCCTAGCCTCCTCCTCGGAGTGATGGGCCAGCAAAGACCCGGATTGTGTGGCCAAGGTCTAAGATGCAGTTACCAGGCTGGGCGGGGGGGGGGGGGGGGAGGGGATTGTCAGGAGGGTCTGAAAGGCCCCCTCCTGGAGGCAGCATTTGATCTGACCTTGAGGGAGGAAGTGATATGGGCAGATAGTCAGGGTGGGAAGGCATCAGGAGGTGGGGAAGAACCTGGTGGTGGTTTTGACAGATGGAAAGGAGTCCTCTTAGCCTGAAGGATGAGAAGGGAGGGAGAGAGCAAGAGCTGGGTGCAAGAAGGAGCTGCTAGTGACATGGGGCTTCCCTTGGTGGCCATGGGGGCCCTTGAGCACCTCCATCATCCGTCAGTGCTCTTTTCCTCCACGAGCCAGCCTGGTTCCCCAGTGAGCTTCTCTGCCACGACTCGGTGCCCGCCTCCCTGCCAGCCATTGCCTGTGTCTGCCCTGCTAGAGACAGAGCGCTGAGTGACGGGGACAACCTTTGTAATTCTTGTTGGCTGGTGAGGAGGGTGAAGGGTTACTGGTTTGTGTTAAGGGCACAGAAATGAGAACATGTGGAATGTCTGCTGACAAGTGTTCTTTAAGTGGAGGAGAAGGGGTGGGTGATGGGGTCCCTGTGGAAGGAGTCAGGGGCTTGCTCTTCCATCAGCATATGAAGGTTTGGGCCTGTCACCCTGGGGTCAGGGCAGAATTTCCAGATGCCTCCCTGTATCCTGCAGATATTCTGCTCAGTTTATGCTGCTCAGGATCATGGGTCTGCATTGTGTGTGCGTGCATGCATGTGTGTTTGTGTGTGCGTGCTTGTGTACATGTGTCTTTGCGTATGGGCAGCCTCTCTCACACATGCAGGCGCATACCATCCACTGTGCCCTTTCCAGTGGGTCGTGGTATTGCCTCCCGACCCTGGTTGCCGTGGGTGCTGCAGGGCCTCGGATGGGTGCCCATCTGGCCCGTGTGGCGTTTCATTCATACGCGCTCATACATGTCTGCCCCCTGCCTGCTCTGTCCAGGGGTATTTTAGTGACGCCTGGAATACGTTTGACTCCCTCATCGTAATCGGCAGCATTATAGACGTGGCCCTCAGCGAAGCCGACGTGAGTATGCGCCCGCCCGCGGCCGCCCACCTCTCACCCTCTGTCTGTGTACATCCCGCTCCCCGCCCGCACTGGCTTCACCTGGACAAGTCACAGACCCCAGCCTCGCTTCATCTCACGGCAGGACTTTCCTACTAGGAGCTGCAGGAAAGAGGCTTTGCCAGGCAGAGCCCCCGCCTGGGCCTTGTTAGGGGCCGCCTTTTGGAGGACGGGCTGTTTTGCAGCGTCACCCAGGGCACCGGTAGGCAGGGCACGCGAGGCGTCTCTCACGGTTCTTGTTTCCTGTGTCAGCAGAGATCTCCGAGTGATGTGTCTATAACATGTTTGTTTCAGGGCAGTTTTTCAAGCAGCCGACGGCACAACGCTAGAATGTTCCCTGTTTATAACACTGTCCTTTTCTCCTTTTCTCCTGTTGTGCTTCCTGTCCTCTGTGGCTGAATGCTTGCCCTCACAGCACTATTTCACTGATGCATGGAACACTTTTGATGCCTTAATTGTTGTTGGTAGCGTCGTTGATATTGCTATAACTGAAGTGAATGTAAGTAGCAAATTTTGTGTCCTACATCGTCATTTTTTTTTCTCGTTAAGTCTGACATAGAAGAGACCAGAAAGGAACTCCCCTGCACCCCCATCCCTCACCCCACCCCAGGGACCTCTGTATGTATTAGAAATCCAGGCACAAAAGTCTCTTGAAAAATAAAGGCCATTTTTGGTCTCCTCACCCTCACCCCTCTCCCTCCCCCTGAAAGAGACAGGGAAAACAAGTGTAGAATGACCGTTTTGGAACTAAAACGTTTTAATGGAATGCCGTGTCACAATGTTAAGGGCTAGGAGTTATGTGTGTGCATATCAACATACCTTGGCACGTCACCTGCCTGCTTTGTGCCTCAGTTTCCCCAGCTATAAAACGGAGTTCACAGTGTGTGTGCCCTGGTACCCACAATGGTTCTGCGAAGGCACGGGAGGGTAGCCCCACAGGTGTGCCCTGAGCGTGTGGCTGTTGCTGCTGGTGTCCTCACCTGTCCTGTCCCGTGTCTGCTGAGTCCAACTAGTGACACTGGGGAATGTCTCCATCCCAGCTCCCAAAAGGGTGATGCAGTGTGACAACTGCCCAGGCCCTGGGGAAGGAGGCCTAGGTGCATCTAGGGGGTGGGGAGTGGAGAGAGTCATACTCCTTTGTTGCCCGTAGTTACATCCTTTGATGAGGGGCTAAGCAGCAGGGTAGGTGCAGCGACCCTCCCTCCAAGAAGCACCCCAAGAACCCTCCCCCCTTCAAAATGAAGAGGCTTGAGAAAGGGGAGCCCCACCCCCTGCCGGCTCCTCTTGGGTCCGACCCTGGGCGAGACTGATGGGCCTGGGGCAGGCAGAAATGGTCCTGCCCACCTGGTCTGTCCCAGGTCGCCCGCAGTCCTCGTGGGTGTCCAGTGTGTGTGCCAGGCTGTGTCCAGTCCTTTGTGGGGACCGCTGTGCAGTGTTGGCTTCCTGCTCCACACCCCCAGCCTCGCCACTCCGCACACTCCGCTGCCACCCTCTGCCTGGCTGACAGCGGCAGGATTGCACGGTCCATCCTGGTGCCCCGACAGCCCATGTCCAATAAGGACGATGAACTCCCCATGATGCCACCTGTTTGGGGCTAGGCTTGTTCTGGAGAAAGGAACAGTGGGACATGCAGGCCAAGGTCTGGCGGTTCTAGTCCTGGTCCAAATGGCTTGCTGCCTCTGGTCCTCAGTTCTTTCTTGGGTCCACTGGGGTGAATGAAATCTGTTCTCCTGGCTTCATAGGTACGCCGTGATAAAATGATGTGAATTATTTGTGACACTACTTGCTAAAAAGCACAAAGTGGTAGGGAGATTTCCCATGCCATAAGGAGTGAAATGGGCTAAGACATTGGCATGTGCGTGAATGTGCGGCTTAAGTCTCAGCACACCCAAATCCATGCCATGACGAGGTACAAAATGGCATTTTACATCCCCTAACCTCCATAAGCCCAGACTTAGGAAAATTTCACTTCATGTGAGATGTTCCATAAGCCAGCTAGAAAATTGCCACTCATAATGTATAAATTACTCTTGGTCATACGTTCATAGTAATCTGATGTTAATGGGAACATAGCAGGACCCTAACAGGGCTGCCGCCGGGCTCTCTCCGAGTTGATGAGCAGACGTCTGCCTGCTGCGTCATCTTGTGAAAGGCGCTAGTAACATCCATCACCGTGTGCTGCGTGGGAATTCCAAAACAGACGCTCTGAAGTCAGAGGCGGTCTGGAATGGAAACGAAAAGGGAATAAACCACACTTTCAGCAGGTCCCCCTAAAGCGCTCGGGGTGCAAAGGCTTAGTTTCTGGGCACCAGGATGTGGCCAAGGCTTGTTTACAGAGGGAACAAGCCAGCTCTCCAATGCCGGACCCTCCTGCTGGCTGGCGGGGTGTGGCACCGGTTCATTCCGCACCAGCACCTGCCAGGCTGCTCTGCTGCCTGGCTGCCCGGCTGCTGCGTGGCTGCCTCTCCCTGTGCTGGGCGCAGGAGCCCACTGCTTCTGTCCCCTCTGCCCAGCCTCACTCATCCATGTCTCAGTGTTGTCCTCCTTCATGAACTTCGTCAGTCAGGTCTACAAAAGCCCCCCACACTGAGTTTTCTAGTTAGCACTTACACCAGGGTCCCTGCCCAGAACAGGCTGGCATTGGGCCCGTTCCTGGCATTCCCTGAGACTTTCAGGACCACACAGGTAATGTTTCCCATAATCTCCTCTTAGTCAGAGACCTTTTCCCAGCCAGACGTGGCTTGAGGCTGAACCTTCCTCAGCAGGTGGCAATGCCAGCTCCCTGCCCTGGGCCAGCAGAGCGCCATGGTGGGAGCTCTCGGCGTTTCCGTGCGAGGCCTCAGTGCAGAACGCATGCTCCAGGCACCTTCTCGTTTATTCAGTCGTTCAACACTTGTTTATTGCACGTCTAGACTTCTCAGACCACAGGGGAAGCGTAGGTGAGGCACAGAGATAAACAAGACCGGGTGTCCTCAACCTCTGATGGGAGAGCTAGCTCAGCGGGCTTCTGACTCCTATACCCCCTCGCCCGCACCTGCTGCCGCGGCCTCCAGGGTAGCAGCACCTAGTGTGTCTCCTAGTGGCCTGTCCCCAGAGCTCCTGGGTCAGCTGAGCATGAATGCTCTTGGTCCATTGCTGGCTGTGTTTAGCTGCCATACATCATCATTATTTGCAATATTAACTTGCTGTGCTCTCTCCCCCAACTTCTGTTGATCTTTATTTTCTGTTGCCTAATTGATTTTCATGTTTTATTTTTAGAAAATTGTAGCGGCAAGTATATATTTATACATATATACGGTGAAGTCATTAAAGCAAGCGCACTTTAAGACTGTATACTTGTTTTTGGCTTCCCCACCTTTGGTTTTCGCTGAGTTCCACAAGACATGCTGTTGGTCATGGTCATCTAAACTGTTTCCCACCCCACTATTTGTTGTCTCCAGCCTGGGCCTGAGCCGAGGCCATGGTGGTCAGTCATGCCTGGCTCTGCGGTTTGCCAGCAAAATCTCCAGGAATGAATGATCCGACCTGGAAATGAGAAACCGAGCTTGCATTGTATTCTTTGCAGAAACATTTTGGATGGCCTTTCCCATTGTCCTGCCTGCGTGCTTACCCAGCCCTCTCCCTCCTGTCGCCCTCCCGTGGCCCTGGCCTGCTCTGTCATGGTTTTATCTCTCTCATGGATGCATCTTCAGCACTTTCATTGGCACATCACCAAGCTGCTAAAATGTCAGACGATGCCTGGCAGGCTCACGTTTGCTCCCTCTCAGATGCCCGTTTGCTCTTTGGTGAAACGCATCCCGTCCTCCCTAACCTGAGAATGGCTGCTTTGCCGTTACCGTTATTGCTGGGGGGCAACGTACTTGCGTAGAGCCCACGTCTGCCTTTTTATCACCCACAGAAGAGCATGTCAAAGGTCAGCAGGGAACCCACTTCCAGGGACCCTAGAGTTGTCCCTGGCTTGTCAGGCACCTAGCTCGGACCAGGTGGCCAATAGCTGCAGTCAGCTTCTTGTTCTGAACCCACAGTCAGGTTGTCCGGCCCTCCGTTCCATATGCGCACCCTTTTTTGGAGACCAGGTTGCTGGTTTCTGGACACAGACTCAGCAAGCCCTTCCTCCCAGAGGCATTACATGCCAGGTCAAAAGTCTTCAGAGGGACCCCTCCCGCCCCCCAAAGGGCACCTCAGGTTAACTGGCTCTGGAATGTTGGCTTACTTTTTGTCTGAATTTAAAAAATTGCATCCTTTCAGCTTTTCCAGAAAAAGGTGGGAATGAATTCAGAAAGTGCAGACTGTTCCCTTTGGTTGCACTTGTGGGGGGCTGACTGAGACCCCGTGGGAAGGGGCTGGAGCGAACATCAGGAGAGCCCAGGGATCTCGGGAGCTTTCCTGACCCGGCATGTTGTTTGGCCTCCGGAGGCTGCGGATCATCTCTCTGGAGGGGTCCCAGTGGATGCCTGTGGCCTCTCAGGCTTGGAAGGAGCCCCTGAGGTCATCCAGTCCCAGCCCTGAGATGACACTGGAGTCCCCTCTAACAGCTGTCCGGGGAGCAACTCCTCTCCCCATCGGGGGTGTCCAGTGTTTGATTCCAGGGCCCAGCAGAGAGTCCTCCTCCACTCCTTGTAAGGAAGATGGAGTTGAGTCTAATCTGTGCACACAAGTACCAAACCACCGCCAACCTCCAAAGAGCCCACCGTCGGCTCTAACAGCCCAGGTGGGCTTTTCTAGGGCTCCCACTCTGCCCAGCCAACCCACACCCACAGGGAAATAGCTAGTGTGGGCGGTCCGCTGGAGACGTGGCCTGCTTTCCCCCCCAGGACTGCAGTTCCTGGCTCTGGCAGCATGTTAGTTAGAAAAGCCCGAAGCTTAGGCACCCCTCCCCCTTCAATGAAATGAGAATCTTGGGGCAGGACCTAGCCATTGGATTTCGTCAGTGATCCCTGGACTCCAGTCCTAATGTGCTGCCCGGGTGAGAACTGGCCTGCCATTTCTTCAGACTGGCATTTGTAGTTTGGACAAAGCCATCCTCAGGGTCCTTCCGATGTGTCAGATGTTTTAGCAGCTTGCACTTTGCTCGTGCTGCTTGCAACACCTCCCCCGAGCAGCCTCCTGCCACTGTGGCGCAGGGGCGGGGAAGGCTCTGCTCAGGGGCATGCTGCTTGATGTGCTGTTTGTTCTTTTCTTCCTTTTGTGCATGTTGTGCTGCTTTGTCTCTCCACAAACGCTGTCTCCTCCTCCTCTTTGCTTTTTTTTAACTAAAGAATATCCATGGTTTCAAGTCCATAGCCCAAGATTTGTCTCTTCAAAGACATTGATTGAAAGAGAGATGGGTACTTGAAAAGTCAGGGTGGCTGCTGATTTGCCCACATCAGAAGGAAGAGGGCAGTGCAAGGTCTGTCAGATGTGGAGCAGAACAGAAGCAGCAGCAGAAGGGGCCTGGCCAGAGCAGGTGGCCAGGAAGTGTGTCTTCCCCACGCACAGGCCTCATTCTCCCCCAGGCCCAAATCACAGGCTGTGTGCACGCATACACACACACACACACACACACACACACACACACACTCACACACTCACACTCACACAGCCTCGCACTCCAGCTGCATGGCTGACTGAAAGCCGTCCTGCACACAGGAGATGGTGTGGGAGACGCCGAGAGATCAGCAGAACTAATTCCCTCAGTTATGAAAGCCTTAGGTTAAATACCACCCTCTGCCCCTTTCCGGAGATGCCAGTTGTTTGAGGTGAGAGGAGAGAAGAGGAGAATAAAAATGGTGACCCGGGCTGGGACAGTCCCTCTGCAGAGTTCACCTCCTCAGCATCCCAGGTAGCGCAGGAGCCCTTCGTACAGTATCAGACCTGTCCATCCTGGGTGCGCAATCACGTGGCTGAGTCTCCGTGGTGATGGGATGTGCCCATATTTTCCCATGAGTTCTGTGGGATTTTATTTTTGGTCCCAAAAGGCAGCTGCTGACAAGAGTGAGGCTTCAGTTTGGAGCCGAGATGGTCCCTGTATCCCCGGGGAGGAGGACCTATCAGATTGGTGTGCGCTTCCACGGGGCACACAGCCCTTAGCTGCACCGAGGCGCCGTGCGTGCGGGAAGGCTCTTAGCAGCCCGAGCGCACGCAGCAGTGTTGGGCCCCACCCAGGAGAGCCTCGCTGCCTTGGGGGTCAGTCACCTGGTAGACCAGCTGCTTCAGCAGAGGTGCCACTCCCGAAGGAAAGAGAAAGGCCATCAGCCCTCCCTGTTTGTTGTAAAGATGCCTCCTGATATTTGCTGCAGTTTTCTTACAACCACTTTGTGGTTTCTGAAGCACTTATCGAGCATCTAATAAGTGCCAGATCCCATGCTGGGCCCTGAGTGGAGTGAGGCAAGGTCCTTGCCCTCTGGGGGCTCCCAGACTGAGAGGGAGGCAGTGAAACAGGGTGGTGAGTGCTGTGATTCTGCACCCCAGGCCCCAGGTCCAGCGCCCCGCCAGACCTCTGCTGGGGCAGAGCTCCCGGAGCTCAGGGCAGGCTGGTCCTGAGCGGTTGCTCTCCAGTAGTCACACAGCGCGGGGCTTTGTCTCCCTGAACTATGGTCTGAGCTGCCGGTGGGCAGTGAAGGGGAAATAGATCTCCTGCCCCCACTGACTCAGTCTGCCTAGCTCCCCAGCAGCCCCACCAGAGAGGGCATCATGGGACACACCCTGCCCAGGCGTGTGGCCCCAGCGTCAGTGTGTGGTCCACAGGGCCTGTGGGCCACAGGCAGCTGCCAACTCCATTCGCCCCGTTTGAGAGAGTCAGTCTGTTCCTCAGAGTTTGGTTGGCCCATTGCAAAGCGGTGAGTTCTGAGACCCACAGCCCAGATTCAGCAAAGAGAGCCAGGCTCCCCAGAAGACACAGAGAGAGCCCCACTCTGCATTTCAGTGTAGGGACAGCTGAGGTCATGCAGCATTACCGTTCCTATCAGCCCTGGTACCTCACATCCTGGAGGTGACTTAGAAAGGAGCGTGAGCCTGGGTCCATGGCTGCCTGCCCTCAAGTCCATTTCCAAGCAGAGTCCCTGGCATTTTCTCAGGGGGGGAGCAGGTGTGTCGTCCTAAGACGTTAGCCACACATTTTTTAAAGGGGGGAGGGGATGTCCTCCCGGACCTCTGCTTCCTTCCCAGTTCATTAATTCCTGTTCAATCTTTGATTTCTTAAAGCCAACTGAGAGTGAAAATATCCCTGTCCCAACTGCTCCACCTGGGGTAAGACCAGCAACTAGTGCCCAGGGCTGGGCCTTTTCCTCGAGTTTATCTGGCCATGTCTGGTTCCCAGTGTTTCTGTATTCTCCATGATTGTTCTTCCAGAACAGTGTCTGCAGTGGTTTGCATTCATCATCAGTGTCCAGTACTCTTGACCAGCCCAGCATTCACCTCTTAACACACTAGACCACGTGGACATGCATGTGCTATGTGGACACAGTTTTCCACGCCCTGTGTTGTTAGCATGTAACTTTTCCTTTCATATCATGCTTTTCAAGGTGAAAAGGCCCTAGAAACACATCTTCAATTCTTACTTCTGTCACCTGTGTTTGCATCTGTTGCTGTTTTTTCTGAAAGTGTTGCATGTTCTACTTTCCATTGGGTTTGACCTCTCCATGATAACCCTTCAGAACTCTGAAGAGAGCAATAGAATCTCCATCACCTTTTTCCGTCTTTTCCGAGTGATGCGATTGGTGAAGCTTCTCAGCAGGGGGGAAGGCATTCGGACACTGCTGTGGACCTTCATTAAGTCCTTTCAGGTAAGACCTGGGCCACAGGCTTCTCTTTGTCTCTGAAGAGCCTATGCAAGTCAGTGATTGCCCCCGTTGTGGCAGCCCAGACTCTTTTCTGCATGATCTCTGGTCACCTAGGTCACGTGACTGCATGGGGTCACATGACCACCCAGGTCAATAGAGAATACGGAATGCTGGAGAGACCTGACCCTTCATTACTTGGGTAAATGAAATAGGATTATCTCCTTAAAGGAAGCAGCGAGAGATGTGGAGCCTCTAGCACTCAGTCTGCTCCCAGCACGAACCCAGAAGCCTCAGAGCCTCTCGCTAAGGTGGTTTCTCCTCATACGGCTGCAATGGTCCTGTTGCCACCTGCTCTAGATATAAATCCAGGACCACTTCACTGGGGCCAGCATATCTCACCAGTGTCTTAGTCAGTTTCTGGGAGGGTTATAGAGTTCAGGACATTTAGGCGTAAACTAGCTCTCATTCATCACTGTGATTCTTCAGACTACTCAGCCCAGTTCGAGTCTATTCCTGGACAGAACCTGGCTTCTCTCATGCCTTCCAGCGCCCCGCCTGGTACTTGAATCCTCTGGACTGAGAGTGGTATAAATTCTTGTTAAAAAGATACGCCCATGTAAGGAATTTGTAGATAGGCACAAGCATTAGAAAATGTATCTTGCATCTTATTTTTTTATTTGACTATTTTAATTCAAAGGTGATAAATGCTCACATTAACAAGGGAAGCGATCCAAAGATATATAAAGGAACCTCTGAGGTGACCAGCATTGACATCCCAGGAAGCGTTTTTCCTCAGTGGGTAGGATTTGAACACGTAAAGAGGAGAAGGGAGTAGATCCAGAAACCTAAAGAAGGAAAATCGCAAGTCCTGGTGGAGAAAATGTAGGAGGAGGCAGAATGCAGCTCTGAGACAGGCGGGCAGAGCAGGGTCTGAGGCAGGTGAACCTGGATCTTGGTGAGGGATGAAACCCTAGACAGTTGTTATTAACATGGAGTGGAAAAAGTACCAGTTTGTGAACTGCTATAAAAACACAATGAATTGAGAGATGCAAATCAAAACAACAATGTGGTACCATCTCACACCTGTCAGAATGGCCAATATCAACAAATCAACAAATGACAAGTGTTGGCGAGGTTGCGGAGAAAAAGGAACCCTCGTGCACTGCTGGTGGAAATGCAGACTGGTGCAACCAGTATGGAGTTTCCTCAAAAAACTGAAAATGGAACTCCCATTTGACCCAGTAATCCCACTCCTAGGATTATATCCCAAGAAACTAGAACCACCAATCAGAAAGGATATATGCACCCCTATGTTCATAGCAGCACAACCTACAATAGCTAGGATTTGGAAACAGCCTAGGTGCCCATCAGCAGATGATTGGATCAAAAAACTATGATATATCTATGCAATGGAATACTATGCTGCCATAAAAAAGAAGGAATTCTCATCATTTGCAGCAACCTGGATGGAATTGGAGAACATCATGCTGAGTGAAATAAGACAGTCAATGAAAGAGAAACACCACATGACCTTACTCATATGGATAATAAAGAACATTATAAACTGATGAACCAAAGTTAGATATAGAGACAGTAAAGCAACAAGCAGACTGTCAAATTATAGTGGGGAGGGGAGGGAGGTCTGGGAGAGATAGATAAACTGAAGGACTTGTATACATACATATAATAAGTACAACCAATGGACACACAACTCCAGGGAGGCTGGGTATGTATGGGAGGGGGGGCAATGGTAAAATATGTACACAGATAATTTAATAAACACACACACACACAGACACAAACTACAATGAATTCATGTAATAATAATCTTTTAAAGAAATTGCTAAACTTTTTTTTTTTACAGATTTATGTCATGGGGTAGTAGTTCATAAAAACCTAAGAAACTGTGCCAACAGAATTCTTAAAATATTCCATAAACTAGGAAGAAAGTGCATGTAGGTATAAGAGAGCCTGATGCTCACCCTGTGGACTCAGTGAACTGGTCCAGCCGCCAGGGTGGTGTTACTGCCCCTGGTCAGGCTGGTGGTCACAGGTGCAGAGATGGCACACATCGGGAAGTGTCACAGCCACTGGCCTTCAGCAGACAGGAGAGGAAGTCAGTGCTTTAAACATGTGTGCCTAGCATTAGGGTTAACAATCTGGGCCTTCCTTGGAGGTGTGCCGGGCACATGGACATCTTCTGTCATGTGGGATGAGATAAACAGCAGTTGAACATTGGGTCAGAGGACCAGGGTTCTGACCTGATAGAGAACCCAGGCTTGACGACCACCCAGCTAGCTCCTTTCTTCCCTGGCCCAACCCCCAGCTCAGTGTGCATTTTAAGAAAAGTGTCTTGTTTTCTACAGTGGCAGCCATAACATGGTTCTTTCCCCCTGGCCCAGTAATTCCACTCCCAAGACTTCTCCTTAAGGGAACACGTCAGCAGCTGGCCAGGTGATTTTGCATAGAGCTTGTCCTTGGCAAGGTGAACTACAGTAACCCCTCGCTTCCATGCACACAGGCCCACACAAGAAAGTGGGAGCCATCCAAATGTCTGCTCTGGAATGGTTTGATCCATTGTAGAATTTCACAAAGGAATCCAGTGATGAATTTAAGCATTATTATGAGAGTGGAGTGTCGGTGGTGACACTGCCTCAGGTTAGGATACACTGTTGATGACTGTGGGAAGCTGCCCTGCCTGCAGCTCCGTGACACCAGGTGAGCACATGGCTGGCATCTTCAGGAGTGAAGCCGCTGTGCTGGGCTGGGGTTTAAGAAGTCCGTTCTCTCTGTGATGTTCTTTCAATATAACATGGAAGAGAAAAGCACGTGTTGGTCTTCAGTCTGTACCGAGCAGCACGGGGACTAGAGGCCGGTGCTGAGCCAGTGCTTCCTCTCTTCCAGGCGCTCCCGTATGTCGCCCTCCTCATAGCCATGCTGTTCTTCATCTACGCGGTCATCGGCATGCAGGTGAGCCCAGCTCCTCAGGGTCCCGTGTGCTCGGTGGTCCCAGATCTGGGGCAATTGCACCTTTGCCAGGTGGAATGGAAAGCCAACACGACTGCTGCTTAAGGGAAAAGGAGATGAGAAAGACGTGGCTCTGAAGGAAAGAGCCGGTGGCACAGAGAGCCAGTCTCAGAAGAGCAAGGAGGGGTTGGACTAAGCCAAGAAAAGCTGGGTCTGGTGGTACCCCTCACCTCGCTCTGAGTCTTGGGAGAGTCAACTAATCAAGAAAAGCCATAGCTGAGTTTAGCAACAGGAAACGCCATACTCAGAGAAGCCACGATTGTACTGTTTTTTTTTGCATCTGACCTGGGACCCCCGTCTTGCCTCATTAGCACCCTGAGAAGAAGCATGAGACCAGGTCCTTCTGTGACCCGGCTGGGGGGCTACAGGAGGCTACTGGCCAGCTCTCCTGGGGTGGGAACAGGACTGGGGCTTCATCAACAGCAGCTCTGACCCGAAGCTGCAGTGGGCGGAGCCTCCAGAAGGAGGGGAGGGAGGAGCCCCCTGTGGAGCCGAACCTTCCTGGGTGGTGTCTGCCACTTTCTCAGTGGGTGCGGATAGATGCCCTCTTCCAGATAAGGGAGGGTGTGAGTGTAAAGAGATGGCGTGATTCCTCCCGAGGAGAGAAGGAGTCATGCTTGCTTATTCTACTCTTGACGGCAGAGAAGGATTCACAAGTCCCTAGGAATCCTAGCAGGCGTTATGAACCATCACACGCTAGAGTCCCTGTCATTCAACAGCATGTGCCCTGTGTGCCCTGAAAGGTCCTCTATGGCAGGACGCTCTCACCCTCGCCCAGAGCTGTCTCAGAGAACTGGGACTTCATGCACGTACCTTCTGGCTCCACGCTCTTCTCAAATGTCAGTCTGCTTCTCTGAGTCCCACACATATGTCCTAACTTCCCCTTACCCTGGAGGGAAAGCCCACCCTGCCCTCTGTGGCCGGCAGCCCCAAAGGTCTGCCACCTGACTTTTGTGCACACCCGTTCTCTTAATTTCCTGGCATACCTCTGAGGCCCCAGTTCTGGGCCTTCGTCTCACTGCCAGGCACCTCTCTGACCCAAGGCCCAGCCTCAGCTATGCGGCCCTCCCTGTGCCTCCTGTGCAGCTGGCCCACCCGCTCTCATCCCAGGGCTGCTGCCTGGTGCTTGCTTTCCTGTCTCTCCTTCAGGGTCACAGCTCCTTGAGGGGAGAATGTATCTGCCACCGCCTGTTCCTGTGGTTAGCACAGTGCCCGGCACATCTTTGTGAATACGTGAGGAGTCTGGCGTGTGGGAAAGCTCTGTGGGTGTGGCTCGAATTTGAGTTGGTTCTAAATTTAGACAGGGAGAGTTCCTTGTTTCTTCTTTTAAAATGACAAAATCTATTCTTTTTTCCCCCCTAATAATTTCTCCACCTAGATGTTTGGGAAAGTTGCCATGAGAGACAACAACCAGATCAACAGGAACAACAATTTCCAGACCTTTCCCCAGGCGGTGCTGCTGCTGTTCAGGTGACTGATCCCGGCCCGGGGCGCGTGGCTCCAGCTGTGGGCTGCAGAGCGACAGAGGACACGTGTTCCTCGGCAGCGCGGCTGTTCCCAGTTGGTCCTGGTGGCTTTCTGTGCTTGTTTGTTTTGTGTTCTCAAACAGAGACACGAACAGCTCAGCCACAGGGGAGTGGTGCTGGCTTGTAGAAACTGCTGTGTTCATTTCGATTGTGGTGGTTTAAGGTTTATCCCTCTGGGAGTTAGTGGGTCTGCTCAGGGAACTGGGAACACATGGGGGCACCCACTGAAACACAGCCAGGCAGACAGAGGTTTTGCAGGAGCACAGAGGCACATCCTAAGATGTGGAATTTGAAGTTTTACGGGATTGCTTTTAACCCCAGTTAATTAACTTTGCAAACAAGGGTGCCTCGAAGTGAGAGAACTTTCTAGAAATTATACAAGTAATTGATAAGGACTCAGTGACCAGATAGCAAGTCATTTTGCAAGTTAGGCAGTTTCCGGTCCTTGGCTTTCAACAAGGTGAACGGGGTCTTATCAAGTTGTCCGATGTTAAGTCATTAAAAGAGAACAATCAACAAATACTGTCACATAGGGGTTTAAAGAAGAGAAGGCACAAAACCAAACATCTAATTTTACAAAAAGAATTGATGTGCTCGTATCGGTTGATAGGAATCGAAGTTTTAGCTGGGATACTGAAATAAATTGCTTTTGAAAATAAGTAGGAATTTCATGTATTCACTAATTCAAACTGGCTTTTCAACAAAGTCCTTAGGTTTTGCTCCAATGAGAAACTTTTTTTTAAAAAATGTTTTAGAGGCCTGAGCCTCAAATCCCTCTACGCCCACTAACAGCTCTTCCTCTGCTCGTTCTAAAAAGGTGTGCGACGGGCGAGGCCTGGCAGGAGATCATGCTGGCCTGCCTGCCGGGGAAGCTCTGTGACCCCGAGTCCGATTACAGCCCCGGGGAGGAGTACTCATGTGGGAGCAACTTCGCCATCGTGTACTTCATCAGCTTCTACATGCTCTGTGCGTTCCTGGTACGTGAGCAGGAGGCTCCCCTCGGCTCAGCAGGTGTCGGTGTAGCACTTGGAATTCAGTCCAGGGACGTTGCCCCACTCACCTGCTGAGGGATTCCCTCCACGCCAATAGCAGGCTTGGCGGCTTTTGTGTTTTTGTTTTTGTTTTTATTTCCTTATTGATTATGGTATCCCATAATTGTCCTCATCCCCCCCATTCCCATCCCAAACCCCTCCCTACATATGCCCCCAAACCCCTGTTGTCCATGACCACTGGTTAGGCCCATATGCATGCATACAAGTCCTTTGGTTGATCTCTCCCTCTTTCCCCCACACTCCCCCTTTTGTTTTAGTTGCCAGTGGTAAGCCCCTTCTTTGTGAGCAGGGCCTCAAGGCTTTGTCACGGGCTTGTGTGCTCACTACCCTACTGCTTGGGACCTCTGGTTTCTTTCTAAAAAGATCAAAGCCCACGTACATAGCAGTGACTTAAGAGTGTGAGTTATTTGGTAGCAGTGAAGCAATAACACTGCTGTGTGCCTCAAAGGTCTAGATAATTCCTCGCCCTGCCCTCCCTGGGACTAGACCAAAGCCATCCCGGAGAGCTAGACGTCTGCTTTCTCGTTAACCGTTCTGCAGGAGGGGTTTGACAGCCTCTTTGGGGAAATGGGGTCACATGTTTTGTGCCCCTATGCTGAGGAAGCACTGACCGGGGTCCGGCCGGATGTATCTGAGTGCCCCTGAGGCTCCCCCCTCTGGTTTGCTTTCACAGATCATCAACCTGTTCGTGGCCGTCATCATGGATAATTTCGATTATCTGACCCGGGACTGGTCTATTCTGGGACCTCACCACTTAGACGAATTCAAAAGAATATGGTCGGAATACGACCCCGAGGCCAAGTAGGTTGGGGAGGATGCCCTGGCTGTTTGTGGGGGCTGTTTCTGGAATAGGGGGCCATGGTTTTTGGGGAGTGGGCTGGGCTGGACTGCATGCTCAGCACTGCTGCCCGGACCTCACGCTCTGCTCTGCCTCAGGGGGAGGATCAAGCACCTGGACGTGGTCACCCTGCTTCGCCGCATCCAGCCGCCCCTGGGGTTCGGGAAGCTGTGCCCACACAGAGTGGCCTGTAAGGTGAGTGTCTTCTGGGTGTCTGATGGCCTGTCTCGCAGAGACTCCCTGGCTCATTCAGGAACCGCTCGGTGACCTCCCCTCACACCTGCTGTCCGGCGCCCAGGATGCCGAGACGAACGGCCCATGGTTCCCATCCTTAAGGCGCTCCCAGAAGTGTCACTCCTGGGACCCCCTGTCAGCCGGCCATAGGAATAGGAGGGGAATGTGTCCTTCGTCATTGGGAGAAGGCAGGGGACGGAGACCTTGGCGTAGGCCCAGGAGGAGAGATGTGGGGGGTTGTCAGAGGTGGAAGGAGCACAGAGAACCCCGACGCGGAGGCCCATGGTGGTCACTGGTGTGGCTGGGACAGAGAGGAAGCGGTGGAAGGCACCGGTGTGTGTGGTGTGGCTGTGGGGAACCCTCCAGCCCAGGCGGAGTTCCAGGGAAGAAGCCCGGGTGGACTTCCGCGCTAGAAGGAGAAATAGATTGGGGCAGGGGACACCCGGGAGAGCCCCACAGCTCTGGGTGTGACATGACAAGAGCCAGAGTGAGGGCAGCGGGAGAGGGAGAGAGGAAATGGCTGAGGGCTTCACTGAGGAAGTGGAGAGGAGTATACCGGCTCCTGGGTGTTTCTAGCATCTGTGCTGGTGGACGTGGTGCCGGGCCCCCTGTGCCCTCTGTGCCAGCTCTCCTGTCCTGAGCACAGGCGGTGGCCGGGCGTGGGTGCGTCCAGACCTCCCGCTCCGTTTCTGTAGCTCTCACCTCTGACCCTGCTCTCTCGGAGCCCCTGCTGAGCTCAGTGTCCCCTCTGGAGAGCTCACAGTGACTCACCTGGAGTCGGCTATAGCAACAGCAAAGAAGTCCATTTCTTTTTCTTCTTCTTCTTCTTCTTCTTTTTTAAATATATTTTATTGATTTTTACAGAGAGGAAGAGAGAGGGATAGAGAGTTAGAAACATCGATGAAAGAGAATCATCGATCAGCTGCCTCTTGCACACCCCCTACTGGGGATGTGCCCGAAACAAAGGGACATACCCTTGACCGGAATCGAACCTGGGACCTTTCAGCCTACGCTCTATCCACTGAGCCAAACCGGTTTCGGCAAAGAAGTCCATTTCTAAGAGAAAGGCAGGGTTTGCCTGTGGAAACCCAGCTAGCCTGCATTCCTGGACAGACCCAGGGAGCAGAGTAGAGTCTACCTTGTATTTCCAGCTTTCAGAGATTTTCTCAGCCCCACCCATTGTTCTGCCCTGAAGGACCTCACACTTGCAGAAACCATGTGGACTCCACAAGGGTCGCACCAGGGCAGGTCCCTAGAGGACACACTCTGTGTGAGGAATAGTCATGCACCCCGGCTGCAGTTATTGGAGGGACCGAGCCCCCTGCCCTGTGCCTGGCTCCTTGGACCTGGTGCCACGTTTCACCCTCACAACAGCCTGAGCGATGTGCCCAGAATGGAGGCCTGACCACAGGCCCCAGGGAGAGCTGGTTGTTCAAAAAGGAAAGTGCTGGAACAGCAAGGTGGTTGAACAATCAAGGTTAAACACAAAGGCAGAGCACACCGAGGGCCAGCATTTGTGTTCATGATAAAAGCTTTGGTCTTTGTCGTGTCAGAGCCCCAGCTAGTAGATGCTCCTCAGATGGCTGGCGAGTTACATGTTTAGGATCGAGTGGAAAAGAGGTGAGAGAGAAACAGAGTCACTGCGGAAAAGGGCTGCACGGCCATCAGTCACTCACAGGCCGGTAAGAGACTCCTCTTTCTGTTTGCAGAGACTAGTTGCCATGAACATGCCTCTCAACAGTGACGGGACAGTCATGTTTAACGCAACCCTGTTTGCTCTGGTTCGAACCGCTCTTAAGATCAAGACGGAAGGTGAGCCCTGGGGACAGGTCAGGGGGTAGAACTGGAAGGAGATGATACCTCCCACCTGTGCTCTTCCTTCCGGGCCTTTCCTTGACAAGGGGAGGGCCTGGGAAGGGCGTGGTGAGTGCAGTGAGCACCTCTGTGCCAGTGGGCGCCCTGTTCCCACCTCCCTCGTCCCCTTTCCTTCCTTCATGCTTCACTTTGTCCCTGAGGTTTTGAGGTGACTCCTGCCACTGCTCAGTAGAGAGCAGAGATGGGTGGGAGATCAGGGCAGCGTCAGCACCGTCACCCGCGAGCTCACTCCAGCTGACCCTTGCTACTCTGTGACCTTTGCGAGGGGTGTTTCTGCTGTTCTGAGCTGTAGGATGTTACTCTGTGGGAAGGACATGAGCACAACTACGTCAGGGGAAGTCCTGGCGATGAGGTGAGAGGATGCCTGCAGAAGCCCCTCTGCAGTGCTGGCATGTGGCGGGGAAACACTATCATGACCAGCTTCCTCCCAACTGAGATCAAAACACATGAGGCCACACCCAGCGCTGGAGCGTGCCCCTGGAGGGTAGCTGGCGGCAGCTTCAGAGGTGGCATGGAAAGCAATTGCAGCAGGTTGAGGAGTGACCGTGAGGTGGAGAAGCAGAGACTGTGAAGGAGGAGGGAGAAGAGGGGCCGGTGGTGGACACCGTGGAGTCGTGGGCAGCTGTTTTCCTGCAGCCCTGAAGTTCAGGGTGACTCTATCCAGAAAAGCCAGTCCCCGCAAGCCAGCGGGCTCCTTGCTGTGGGCCTCCTGCACCTGGCCCCCCCTGCATCAGCGAGGGACACAGGAGGCGGGATGGCCTTCTGCACCGACCTGTCCACTAAGGAGACAAGCATCAGCTCATCTGATAAGACCAAGACATGCGGGTGTTACAGATGGATCCGCACATTGGGAATTGAACATCTTATGTGGGTGGAATCTAGTCTGGGTCTACAAGGAAGGAGGCAGGACTTGGCAATCTAGGCTGGGAGCAGCGGGAAATGTATAGGTGTGGGCCTGGGAAGGGAGAATATGGGTTCCAGAGTAAAACATGGTCCTTCCCACGGTGGAGTGACTGCAGCTCTTAGGAAGTGTGAATGGTCCTGGCCAGGGAGCCTGCCATGAGGAGCGCCCCTCTGAGGGCCGCGCCACCCCCCGAGGCCCATGCTCCTACCCAGGTTAGCATGGTCCCGGCGGAGGGATTGCTGGCCAAGAAGCAAGGCTTGTGTTCCCCTCTTGCTCTTTGCATCCAGGGAACCTGGAACAGGCTAATGAAGAGCTTCGAGCTGTGATAAAGAAAATCTGGAAGAAAACCAGCATGAAGCTACTTGACCAAGTTGTCCCTCCAGCTGGTGGTCAGTGCACTCTCTTTCCTAAGTAGCTTTTGGCCAACACGTGGGTCTCGGGGTCATGCCTGCCGCCAGCCCAGCTGCAGGCTGCTTTGGGTGTCAGCCAGGTCACTGTGGCCAAGCCAGAGAAGGCCTCCGGCCTCTGGTGTAATCACTTGGGGTCATAGAAGTAACATCCCGAAGGAGAGGCCTCAGTGGGAGGGGACCAGACAGGGTGGCTGGCGCCAGGCTTTCCTGCTTGTGGGGAATTAATGTTGGGAACACGCCTGCTGCCTCAAAATGAAAAGCCTGGATTCTGGGGGTCCAAAATGGGATTTTTAAAGCTAGTTTCCGTTTATCCTTTAACTTATTGTTGAAAGCTTCTCACCAAACATTGATAGCTGTCAGAAACTGGTATTTTCAAAATGTTCTTGTCAAGACTGAGATGACTACCATAACTAACTTTTTTGTAAATGTAAATGTCCCTATCATTAGAACTTAAGTAGGGACAGGACTAACAGGCATGCTTTTTTCTTTCGTTATTTATCAATTAATAACCAACTGAACTTTTAAAAGATTTATATATATATTCCTATATATATATGTCAATATATATAGTAATATATATATAATTTATATATTGTTTTTTCCACTTTCGTTTGAATGCACATGGACTTAGAAGTTGAGGTGGTTGTTTTTCAACTTTTATTTTCAAGTTTTAAAGGTGCAGGATCCGTTCAGGTCTGGACACTGACTCCAGAACCCTGAGCTAAGATGGTGGCCAATACTTATTCCTCTGAGAAGGTGACAATCTCTGGCTCTTGAGAGAGCGTTGTGCTGGCCAGCTCTGGTCGTCAGCATGAAATGAGAAGCAGAATGAGATGTCACTGTAGAGGACACCCATAGCTAGCATGGTCACGGCTCAAAGCCGGGGAAGATGACCCACAAAGAAATGATAAAGGGGAAGCAAAAAGGCTCCCCAAGCCGAAAAGAACAAAACCCTCAAACGCCCCCCCCCACCCCCTCCCCGGGAACTGATCCCGCACACACGTCCACGGGAGAACCGATACTGTTGTCCACAGAACTGATACTGCACATTTAAAACAGCCCTAAGTTTCCTTTTCTTTAGAGCTGCACACCCAAGTGCTCGCATGGCTGAGGTTAATCGCTTTATTAAAAACTGTCGTAACAATGTGCTTGAGCTTTTTCTGCAGCCTCCATTCCTTTCAACTCAGTCTTTCAGAATATTCTGAAGCAATTCTGTTTTAGGGTGGTGGCATGGAATCAGAGTTATCTCTTGCCAACTGTATTCCCCTACAATGTTTCTTGAAATGCAGATGCATGCTTCAGAATAGTGCTCTGGGCTGGCTGAGTAAACCTTCCCCTGAAACACAACCTTCATTACAAACTAGTCTCACGCACACACGTCAGGGCCCATTCTGGCTAAACCCCCTCGGACAGAATCCTCTGAAGCTTCGTTTCTTTTCATTGGACCAGAAAAGAGTCCAGATTTGGCTCACCATCTAAGCTCCCTTCCTTTGCAAAACTGGCCAGCTTTTAGCTCTACTAGACATCTACTAAAAGCTACATATTCTTCCACATTCTTGACCCAATGATGGGCCTTGGCTTTTTCTCTGCATCTCTTTCAATGGAGTGAGTATTCATCTGCTTCAAAATGGCATCAGGTGGCACTGTGAAACCGAAAAGTAGGAAAGGGGCTTCAGGAGGAGATGGGGTCCTCTGGAGTCCCGTGTCATGGCCTGAGTATGTGCTGGGATAGTGTTGTCGGCTGAGTCTGCCACTGCAGAAGGTCGAAAGGCCTGGGTTTCTGGCTGCAGTGAGCGGACTTGAGTGAGGTGCTGGGCAGCGTTCTAATTCTGTCTCTTGTTTTTGAGTCTTTCTCATGCCAGTTGGCCAGTGGTTCCCACCTATCCCTCTCCATGGCACACTTAGAAATTGAGAATATTCGTTCAGCCCTCCAGGCCAGCAAGTGGGTAGCTCCCACGGCTGAGGGGCTCTGTATCCCCCGTGCTGTAACTTTGCAGAGGGCAGCAGACTGAGCCAGGCCAGCTGTCCCTGCGCCGGGACTGGCCGATGTGGGGTGATCAGGGACACCCTTCCGGACCCGGTAACAGTATGTGCCCATCTCAGGAGGAGTTGCTGGCACAGTGTGATGTGAGGTGCCCATGGTTGTCATGAGCTTGATAATCAGGGGCCACTCAGGATGGAGCCCTGGAACACCAGCTGGGGACTTCTCTGCGCAGGAGTCTGTGGCTGCAGGGACAGCCTGTCTGCTGTCTGTCATAAGGCTGATGTCTCATTGCCCATCTCTGACCCTTGCTCATGTGCTCCCCTCCATTCTTGTCACGTATTTCATGGGTCCTCCCCTCCCAGAGGCTCTCCTTGCTTTGGGCCTTTGCTCCTTGACCTGGCTCCTTGGCCCCTTTGCCCTAAAGAGCACTCAGAGCCGGCTCCACCCCTTTCTCTCTAGTCCTGAGCCCAGGCAGCCTCCCTGCACTCCTTCCTTCTCTGGCAGAGGTGGGAACATCCCTCCTTGGGCCATATAATGCCCAGAAATATTTGGCCTGGCCCTGCCAAGTCATTAGGGGTGAGTTACTTAAATGTTTGACCAAATATGACAGGCTAATTTTTAAGCTGATAGTTCATATGGCCTGTGAATGACGATATAAATATCCAAATGGCCCTTCTCAGAAGAAAGGTCCCTGCACTGTGCTATGGCTTTCATTCTCCTGTTTTTAAGAACTTTTCCTGGGCTCATTCTGTTAGCTCAGCATTCCAGTAGAGCAGACCATGCGGACCTTGCACCCTGCCCTGGAGAGCCAGGGGTGGCTGTGCTCTGCTCCCTGTGGCCCCTCAGGGAGAAACTCGTCAGCTCTGCACTGAGGACACTGCGGCCTGGCTCCAGGACAGGAGGAGCTCAGACCCCCCTGCAGGACCCCCTGGGCCAGTCCAGGCTCGCACAGTCCAGGCTGAAGGGATAGGAGGGTAGGCCTATGTGGGCTGGAGGGAGGAAGTGGTCTTCTGTGGATAGTGGCCTTTTCCTGCGAGCTCCCAGGGAAGGCTTGGAAGTCTTGACTGAGAGGCCGCGGTGGTGCAGCAGGCGGAGAATCCCCCAGGTCCCCAGGGGTCTCTACGCAGTCAGCAGTCCGTCCCCCTCCTGATTGCAGCTCAGTAGCGAGAGAGCCTTGTACTCTGGGAGAGGCCACCCCACAGACGAAGGTGGCCCGTGTGGCAGGAGGTAGGCCATCCCTCAGGGAAGTGGTACTGAAGAGGAGGACAGCTGGCTTGGTGCTCATTTACCAACCTGACTGGCCTGGGGCAAGTCTTCAACCTTCTCAGCTGTCAGCATGGGCGAGCAGATCCACCATCTCAGAGTTGTGGTTGAAGGTGCCGGGCAACCTGAGGGGAGCTCCCTGACTCAGGGCCTGGCACAGTAGGAAGGACGGCTGGAACTGGTGTCCAAACACCCCTGGGCAAAACAGAGAACAGCTCAAGGGCAAAGGGTGAAGTGTCAAGACCCGCATGGTCTCTCTTCACCTCTCGCCTCCTTGCCCACGGGGGCATGGTTGAACCAGCCTGGGACAGGTGAGGGACCACGGTTTCACATGTCGCACAAAGCCTGGGGTTCACGTTGGTGGCCCCTGCACCACTCCAGACTTGCCCAGCTTGGCTTTGGAAGGAATGCAACACGTTCTCAAAGTCAAACCGCTCCAAGCATCTCCTCTGACAGTAACACTGAGTAGCGTCTGACAAGGATGTTTAGAGAGGCAGCTCCAGAATGCCCAGCAGTGTCCAAACAGTGGCACCTTCCACATGGGCACCAAACAAACCCCACCCACGGTGCATTGGGGAACACAGTGGGCCTCGGTGTCCCCCAACTGTGTGCTGTAAAACCTATTGCAGGGGATCTCACTGTTGGCCGGGTGTAAGATGATAGTGATTCTCATGGCTCAGTCATCCAGCCCCCAGAATGAGGGCCACCCAAGCAGGGGGCTGCGTACTTTACCTGCCTCTCCTCCTGTGGTCCCCACAGATCCTCTAAGAGACATAGCCCCTTTTATACACAGAGGTTGAGCTCCTTGCCCCAGATCACGTGATACTCTTACAAGGGCAGCCTGGCCAAAGGCTTAGCTGTGCTAAAGCCTAAGGGCTAGCAACCATTCCTTCCCCAGCCTCTGCAAATCATGGTCAGTGGTCCATGCCCACAGGGGGTGGTGGGCTCAAGCTTCCCATCCAGGAACCATGGGCACACTGCACCCTGGGAAGCAGGGCTTGTGGAGATCCTGGGGCACACACACACTGCCAAGGTGGTTTACCCGAGACAGCCAGAGCCTCTATTTCTGCCTCATGCATCACCTGTAAAATGCTCAGCAGAATTCCAGTTGTTTCTGAAAAAAGAAGAAGTCAGCTCCACCACAAGGTTAGTTGGTGCTGTCACTTATAGCACCTCCTCCCCCCCAAAAAAAAGCCAACACACACACACACACACACACACACACACACACACCCCACAACTAGTTCTGAATTACAGACCAAGAAATGGCATATGGAGGCTATTGGCAGAGAGTCAAAGGGGCACATGAGAATCTGGGTTTGCAGTCACTTTAATGAACCTTCCTCCTTTTCTGAGCTTGTCTGTCCCCTTTCTGAGGTCTCTGTCTTTATCTCCAGGCATCGGGATTTGAATGGTTAATTGCCCTTGGAGTTCATGGTAATTACACATGCAAATCCCTGTGCACAGGAGTGAAAATATGACCTAGGAAAGCCTTTTTTTTTTGTTTTGTAATTTTTATTTTAAGTAAATAACCAAGACAGCACTTGATAATGTTACTAATACGCTGCTCTACTAAACGTATGACAAACGTTACTTTCTGCAATTTTGAGCGTCAGTCTATCTAACTGACTCTAACTTTGAGCCTTAACTGCTTTGCCGAACCCTGCTTTTCGCTAGAGCTAGTCTCCCTCCTGTGTGATAAGCCGAGAGCTCAGTGCCTCTGCGCTGCCCCCCCCCCACCCCCCGCCCCATCCCAGAAGCCAGGGTGTAGGCTCTTGGTGCAAATATGCTGATTCGGGAGAGCTGTGTCTGGTCTCTCCGTTTAGATGATGAGGTAACCGTGGGGAAGTTCTATGCCACTTTCCTGATACAGGACTACTTTAGGAAATTCAAGAAACGGAAAGAACAAGGACTGGTGGGAAAGTACCCTGCGAAGAACACCACAATTGCCCTACAGGTGAATTGTCGTTTTGTTGTCTTACCTTTGCACTAACCACTTTTACGAGCTTATTTGAAATATTAGTGAGCTGACAGTTCATGGTTGAGCAGTACCACAAGGATGTGTTTAAACTGAGCTACTGCACACGCCCTAAAATGTGGACTAGCCATTTCTGGGCCACCAGGTAAGTGCCTCCCTCTCCTTGCTTCCTCTGGCGACTGTGGCCTGTGGCACAGGAACTCCAGGACAGCCCTGGTGGAGGGGAGCGAGCACTGCCTCTCTCCTCCAGGCTTCTCCCAAGGCAGTGCCCTCCCGGCAGGCAGCCACCCACCCCTCCCCAAGCCCTGGGCTCCGGCCCTGGCTGCCCAGGAAACAGCTTTCCATCTGAACGCAAGTGCTTTGTTTTGTTTCTGTTTGTTTCTTACCCCACTGCTTGTTGGTTTTTTGGTCCATTTCAGTAACATCCATTATCTCCCGGTATGTGTGCGTATGTGCTCGTGTGTGTGTGTGTGTGTGTGTATGCATTTGTGCGTGTGTGTACGTGTGTGTACGCCTGCGGCGTGTCTGTCTCTCTGTTGTGTCTTGGTGGCCGTGAGGCTTGCTGTGCAGATGCTGCTCTCTCCCACCTGGCCAGCCTCTGGTCCCTACCCCTGAGCCAGCCTGGCTCCGCCCCGGGCTCTGAGAGTGTGGAGGTGGCTTTCAGGAACCTCTGGTTCCAGCCAGGGTGCAAGAATACCGAGTCCTAAGTGAGCCCCGAGCTCTGGGAAGGGAAGCAGGAGTGCAGGCGAAGGGAGTCCCAGTGGAGACCTGCACACGGGGGCCAGGAAGGGGACTTTGTGAGTGCTGGTGGTGAAGGATGCAGGGAGAAGAGGGGAAGAGAAAAGGATGCTAAGAACTGGAGAAAGGGAACTAGAGAGTTGGCGAGTTGTCAGAAACAACTGCTTAAATTAATCAAAACCCCTGTCATCTCTGTTATCCACAGTGCTTTGGGTCTGTCACGAATAGGATAAAGGATTTCTCCCTTTTTAGTTTAATCTAAAATTGCTTTTCTGACCCTCTTATCACCACATCTTAAATTGGGCCGAACAGTTATTGGTAAGGGTCAGTGTGAAATAATCCTGCACTTGTTTCTTTCTGGGGAAAAATGCCCAGCATTGTCTTTTTTGTGTTCAAAGTGGTCAGGACTAAAGCAAAAGTTTGTGTGTGATCTCTCTGAGCGAGAGAATGTGAACGTGAGTGATGATGAAAGAGCGAGTGAAGGAATGTGGGGTACATACACACATGTTGGGTTAGTAGGTGACCTTGTGTGACCGTGACCTGCTGTTTCATGATAAAACCTCTGCTCCACCCAGACAGCTGCAAGGTTGGGGGCGGCAGGGCTGGGGGGACTAACTGAATCCAACTGCAGGCTTCCGATCTTCCTTTCTCCGCTCACATCTCCCACAGGGAGCTCAGTGGACCCCAGGCTCAGGCAGGTGGCTCATTGCTGTGTCAGGTTGCAGACTTGGTGAGCAAAGTGCTTTCGCCTCTGGCTGACCCAGTTTGCCAAGGCGGCAGCCCTTTGGTCACAGTTCATAAGGAGCCTTAGACGAAGCAAACTGAAAAGTGTCCATTTGAACAGGCAATGTGGTCACGTTGGATGCAAAGAGAGGGGGTGGCGAGCGTGTCTCCGATGGCTCTTCCTGGAAGGAGCCCTGGGCCAGGAGGGTGAGGCCGGCCAGGTGTCAGAGCGCCAGGGTGCCCTCTGCCCGTGGGACCTGCTTGCTGTTCTCAGGGTCTATGTAGTTGGTGGGGACGGTGGAATTTGATGACTTTTCTGGAGGGGGAAATGCACTCTGTCATGAATAGCTGTGTCGTAATTTACGTTCATCAGGTCAGCTCTGTGTTGTTAATCAGGTCAGCTCCTGTCTTCTGTGGAAGGCGTGGCTGATGACCACCTCGATACAGAGTGATACCTTTGAATCCCCACAACGCCCCAATTAGGTGGCTTCAGTGCTTGCTCTGGTGACTGAATATAGTTTTTTGATATTTTAAAACCTGAAAGAACACATAGCTAAGCAATTTTCACATTTCACGAATGGGCTCCACTGAGTCTTCAAGTTGAAGGTTCAAATGATGTTAAATCATGGGTTAAAAGGCTATTGCATTGTACTACGGTAATGCTGAGGTGTGTGTTTTCCCCCTCCTAAACATGTATCATCTTGTTATGCACGGAAAGAGTTTCATTTCCTCGGTGAAATGCAAATATTTCCAGTTAGGTGGTAATATCAACACACTTCCCCTGGTTCCGGTGGGAGCTGATGTTGAGGGCACAGCCTAGAAAACTAAGCTGTGTTCATAACCTCGACAGATAAATTCTTGAAATGCATTTGGTTCCGAGGCGAATATTAAAAGTGGAAAATTTTTGTCTCCTGGGAGGGCAATCCTAATTACATTTTTGGCTTCCTCTGCTCTAATAATGGCTTTACATGTGACTTGTCACTGTATTCTAATTGGCATGAGGAGGCCCCTCCTCCCAGCAGGACGAAGGGCATGTGTTAGGGAGACGCGGTCCCGTGGCCATGGGAGAACTGCACCCACCGTGTCACTAGGATGGGCACACGGGTCCTCCAGGAGGCATCGGAAGGGGGCACAGCACATTGTGAGGTGGGTTGGGCTGCCCCTCCCTGTGCCAGGGTGCCACACGGCTGGCCGGTGGCCAGTGGCAGCCGAGTGTGGGCATAGGCATGTGCGTGCTTGTGCTGCGTCGAGTGCCGTCTGTCTGAATGGCCTCGGAACCAGTTCGTGTTCTGGGACCCTCCCCCGTGGGACGGTTTTCCAGGACACACAGAGGCACTGTGGTTCCCGGCCCTGTGGGCTGCATCCGGGCTCCCCGTGCTCCGGCCAACGGCGGTGTCCCCTTCTTCATGAGGAGGAGTGGCTTGAGGAGCTCCGTGCATGGGCAGGAGCTCAGCACCCGGTGTCCTCTGGCCTCGGTGGTCTGAGTGAGTGTGCAGTTTCCATCCGTCCCTCCATCACCATCATCACTAAAGCCAGCCTTCTCTTCAGCTCCTCTCCAGAGGGGACCGAAGAGAAGCCGCCTCAGGCCTTTTGTGTTCTCACTCATCCCCTCCATGCCATGCTCACTTTAGTTTGACTCGGCATTCGCTCTCCATCCATTGTTGCTGCATCCGAGGGACCTGCACGCTTCCACGAGGAGCAGGTATATAAAGGAGCAGAGCTCCGCGGCCATGAAAAACTCGGCCCCTCCCAGCAGCTGGTAGCGCCTCCCTCACACCTTCCCGGCGAGGGTCCTGGGCACAGATCTGTCCAGTATCTCGTGGAAAAAGGAAAAGAAAAAAGAAAGATCCCAAAGTGGGAAAAGTTTTGTTCATTTCCTTCTTTCAACATTCAAGCATCCCCTTTATGCAAAAGACGCCCTGAGGAGCCACTGTCCCTGGCCCATTGTAATGACAGGAGACTGTAGGGGGATAGTCTTTTCTTTGTTTTTAACCCATTGGGCTTGAGGAAGAGGCCAGTATTCCCAGCTGGCAAAGAGTCTGGTGCTCAGGTTTTAGAATGGTGAAGTCTGTACCCCAAAGCACCAGATGGTGATGTAGGTGGTCCAATGGAAAGGTGGGTGGTACAAAGAGGCAATGCCACTTCTCCCCGATAGGCCGTGATCCGGCTTCTGCGGGAGGCTCGGGCATCCGCGCAGAGGGAAGCAGGATGTGCAGCAGACTTCATAGTCTGTGGAGTACAGGCTCCTGTTTCTAAGTCACCATCGTCTACAGAGGAGCAAGCTTTTTTGTTGTTTTTTTTTTAAGCATGATTCTACCCAAAGCCGGCAGGCTTTCCTTTTCCTTTCTTTTTTTTTTTTTAATCTGCAATGAGAACAGGTGCTAACAGATGGGATTTCACTGGCTGATTCATTTGTTTCAGATGCTTGAACGGATGCTTTAGAGTTTTCTGCCTGAGCTACAGCACCAAGCTCGTTAGCCGGAAGGCGTTGGTGGCTGAGGCCTTGAAAGGGAAAAGTCTCAAGTGGGCTTGTTTCTACTGAAACCGCATTTCGGGAGAAATGCAGGAAAAGGCCAATCCAAGGCCCCGGGGAGACCCCTTCCACGCCAAGCGGTCCTGCGGAAGGCGGAAGCCGGGCCGCGGCCACCTGCGGAGCCGTGGCCTCCCGTCGAGGACGCTGCTCACGGTGGCTCTTTTTCGAGAAAGGGGACGTACGAGGCTTACCCGGTTTCTTTTCCCAACAGAGACTCAGAGAAAGGGAAAGAGGGAGAGAGCGAAGGAGGGGGTCAGCCGCCCCACAGAGAAACGAAATGAACACAACTTCCTGATGCTGGCCAGTAAAAAAAAAAAAAAAAATCAAATAATAAAAAGATTAAGCAGACCTGCCCAAGATGGGCAGCTGACTCCGTTCCAAAGTCCTGCACCCCTAGTTTGCCCGGACTCCCAGAGACTGCAGGCCCGGGCGCCGAGCTGGCAGAGTTCCTTCTGTATGGCGGTCGGGCCTGGCCTGGCCGCCGGCTGCACTCTCCGCAGTGGCCCGGGCGGGACAGGAAGCTCAGACACACCCATTCACACTAACACCTACTCCCGCATGCCCAGACCAATCCAGGCAGCACCTCAGGTTCCATCTCAGTGTGTCCGCGGGAAGCACCACCACACCCCAACCTCATCCGACATTGTCCGTCTGTAAGTCCGTGCTCAGAGCCAGGCCGGGGACGCTCTTTGGAAGGGCGCGGTCTAGTTTCGGAGGACACTGGGAGTCAGGGAACCCGGGCTCTCGCCCCAGCGCCAGCATTCGGTTGCTGCGTGACCTTGGGCAAGACACTTAACCTCTCTGTGCCTCAGTTTCCCCCATCTGTAAAATGGGGATAACAATGTCGACCTACCTCACAGGGCTGTTGTGAGGAATAGCTAAGTGATTGTAAAGCACTTTGAACGTATAATTGCTTAATTATTAAGATTACAACAATAATAATATCCTATGCCTGTTTGCTACCGGAACTTTAAGACATTTGTTT